TGTGTGTGTGTGTGTGTGTGTGTGTGTGTGTGTGTGTGTGTGTGTGTAATCCCAGAGTGCTGGGATTACAGGCGTGTGCCACTGTGTCTGGCTTGTGAATGTTCATAACTTTCTTACTTTTTTTCCATAATAAGATTCTGGTTGTACATTCTCAGCCAGAAAACGATGCATTTTTTCTAGTGTGTCACATCTTGGAAGCAGATCATGACCATTGTCACCTCACTGGTGGTGTCAAGTATGGTTAAGTATTGACTGACTTGTCTCTGATATTTTTAGTAATTATATCAACTTTGTCCTGGAAAGTCCTAGATCTTATCTAAATGTGACTCCTGAGGTCTCATGATTCTGATTAATGAGGTTTTTAGCTAGTGATGGTTTTTGTAAGCCTACTGTGAGCTGTGGGAATAGATATAGTTAAACCAGGTGAAACTAAGCAGGGGAGACTTCGTAGTTTTCAAAAGCTGTCATAGGCCTTTAAAGAAGAACTTGATTATTTCAGGTATGTTCGAAAGCCTTATCAAATTGGGAATAAATTATTGGTAACTATATTATTTGGAATTTCTTAGTGCTTTAAGCTCCTAACAAAGTAATGTTTATAATCATGTGTGTATTAAACTGGCCCATAGATTGTGGAGAAACAAAATTCCCTGCTAAGGCCCTACTAAATGACCAGGTTAGATTTTTTTTTTTTTCCAACTTGACAAAAACTAGAGTTATCTGGGAAAAGAAACCTTATTGAAGAAAATGCCTCCATCAGATTGGCCTACAGGCAAATCTGTAGGATGTTTTCTTGAGTCATGATTGATGTGGGAGGGCCCAGCTTATTGGGGCAGTACCAACCCTGGGGATGGTGGTTCAAGGTGGTATCAGAAAGCAAACTGAGGGCTGGAGAAATGGATCGGTGGTTAAGAGGACTTGCTTAGGTTTAATTCTCAGCACTTGCACTGTGGCTTTTAACTGTCCATAACTCCAGTTCCAGGGGATCTGATGCCCTCTTCTGACCTCCCAACCTTCACGGAGTACACAGACATACATGCGCACAAAACATTCAAGCTTTCGTGCATATAAAATTTATTATGTATATCTAAAAAAGAGGAGGAGCAAGCCTTAGCAGTGGTCCTTTCTAGTCTTTGTTTCAGTTGCTACCTCCAGGTCCCATTAGTGACGGACTGTGACCTGAAAGCCAAATAAATCGTTACTCCACAGGTTGCCTTTGATGGCGGTGTTTTATCACAGCCATAAAAGGCAAACTAAGACAAGGGGCAACCACTTACGTATTTACTTTTAGTGTGTAACATACCATATATTAATTTTAATAACAAAATGTAACGAAGTTCTTAAGAGTGGGGATAGGGTGGGAAATTGGCCATCTTCTTTGGAGACACGAGCTATTTGTCTTCTTGTTTCAGGTAGACTACAGTAACAGCTATAAGACTGTGAAAACCCAGAGCTGCATCCACTTGCTCAGCGAGGCTCATCTGTTAGTGAGAGCAGCCCTGATGGACGGCAGTCAGCTGGAGCCTGCAGAGAAAGCAGAGCTCTTAGAAGCTTTTAAGGAAAGCTGTGGGCACCTTGGAGACTGTTACAGCCGGTGAGTGAGGCCTCTTAAGCTTTGTTACAGAATTTTCCATGTGCTTACCAGTCTTTTTTGTTTTGTTTTTGTTTTTCTGGATCTCTGGGAGTTGGTTCACTTTCCTCATATATTTCACAAGCAGTTGTTGAATGCATGCTATGGACCAGGTACTGTGGTAGGCTTAGAGATATAAAAGGACTATGACTATCCAGTGTCTTGAAAGTGTCATAGTTTGTTACAGGAATAATAAACACACTACCTAACTTTTCAATTTGGAGGTGCTTTTATTTTTATTTATTTATTTTGCTCTATTTTATTTTTGTTTTAATGACTTGAGGGTACATGATGAGGGAAAAAGAACTGAGGATATCTTTGGTACTTGTTTGTTATTTGTTAGCTTGAGTGAGGGTTGTAACTGAAGCAGTCTGAGATCTTAATATTAGTAGTCAGTGTTTTCATGATGCCATAAAGGTATACCAAAGTCAGTAGAGATTTTTATTTCTGATAACCATGTTGTTTTTAATTCTTACTGATTCTTTGTGAATTTTACATCATGCACTCCAATCCCACTCCTCTCACTGTCTCTTTGCATCTGTCTTCTGCCCTTGCAACCTTCCCCACAAAAGAACACAAACCAAAAAAACAACAAACAACAACAAAAAAACCATCTTGTTGTGGAAACTGTTGTATTAAAAGTTTACTTTTGTCTTCACATCTTCACTTGCAATGAGTCATTGCTTAGAGGCCGTCTTGAACATCTGCTACACTATCAGTAATGGATCCACCCTGGGACTTCTCTGAGATATCCTGTTGTTGCCCTGTATTAGGAGATCCTGCAGCTTTAGATCAGCTCCTTCACGAACTACAGTAGTTCATAGATGGAGCAGATGTTGGCATGTGCCAACTAAAAGCCCTGTATCTGGATCTGGGTGGTAGCTGCCTACCAAAGTTCTCCTGCACCCTCACCACCAGGGCAAGCTCTCCATCATTGCCCTGCCTAGCTCATCCACTGCTGCAGCCAGCAAAGGCCAGGGCCAGCTCTCCTGTGTCCCTGGCACCAGGGCCAGCTCCACTGTGCTGCCCAGGTGAGGTGCAGGACCTGCTCTCCCAAGTGCTTCAGCCAGTGAGGGGCAGGACCAGCTCTCCAGCTCTGAGAACTGTGTTTATGAAAATGTTTGGTAGGCAGTGTTTCACAGGCTTACTTCACCCGTGTAAGTGATTGTAAGTGACTGAAAGAGACTGTACTGAACTATAAACACCATTATTTTAGAGGCTAACTAAATATTAAAATTCACTCAATGAATGACTGCTTTTTTACCTTGATGATGCTCAAGAAAAAAATGTTAATTGGAATGACTTTATAAAACCAAACTGTAAGGCTTATGTCTTTGGAAACCATTATCTTTTGTTAAGTAGGTGATGTAGAAATGCGCATTTGAAGCCCCTTAAAATTTCTCTCTCTTTAGGCTTGACACTGAGCAATCCCACCTCGCCTTGCCATATTATAAGATGTCTGGTTTGTCTCTGGCTGAAGTTTTGGCCCGTGTGGACTGGACAAGAGAGAATGAATCACAGAAATATGAGAGAGGATTAATATTTTATATTAATCACTCACTTTATGAAAACCTGGATGAAGAATTAAGTGAAGTGAATATATTTCCTATAAAATTATAGCTTCTCTCTTTAACTTTTCACTTTAATAAGTGTTTTAGTTAATAATATTTAGAATTCAAGTTCTAAGTATTTTCTTTGTTGTTTTTTTTTTCCAGAAAATTAGTATGCTGTTTACTTTTTGTTTGTTTGTATTTCTTTTGTTTTTCTCAAGACAGGGTTTCTTCGTGTACCCTTGGTTGTTCTGGACTTGCTCAGAGATCCACCTGCCTCTGATTTTCTGAGTGCTGGGATTAAAGATGTGTGCTGCCATGCCCGGCTGCCCTTTACTTTTTTAATGATTTTAGAATTATAACTTGGAAAATAAGTTAGGGGTCACCTTCTCATATTACCTCAGTATTCAGCATGGGAGTGTTGAGGGACCTGCCCAGTGACAGTGACATCTCTTCTGAAGTGAAGGACATAATCTGATCCCTGCCTTCCTGTGCAGGATGTTTTTTTTTTTTCTTCAACTCCATTTGCCCTATTTTGTAAGCATCCAAATTTCATTTAAGGGCCAGAGACCTTTTAAAATATTATTAAAAATTATTTTTAGTCCCTTTTGTATTTTAAACACAGTTGGAAGTTGAAAGACCATATGCTTGGAGATTCTGAGGGAAGTAAATTTTCTCCTGAATTATATTATTGAGTATATTTTGAACTAAGTTGTAGTTTAAATTGTAGGATTCTTTTTGAAAGATTTATTTATTTTATGTATGAGTTCTCTAGCTGCATGTACACCTCCATGCCAGAAGAGGGCACCAGATCCCAGTATAGATGGTTGTGAGCCACCATGTGGTTGCTAGGAATTGAACTTAGGACCTCTGGAAGAGCAGACCATTCTCTTAACCACTGAGCCATCTCTCCAGCCCTAAATTATAGACTTTTAAGTACAATATTTTCTCCTATGTGATTGAAATTAGAAATGTTGGTCACAAATTGGTATATATTTTTTATTACTTTTCTTCCCCTCCCCTCCCGGATGGGTTTCTCTGCGTAGCCTTGGCTGTCCTGGACTCACTTTATAGACAAGGCTGGCCTCTAACTCACAGAAATCCACCTGCCTCTGCCTTCCTGAGTGCTAGGATCACAGGCGTGCACCACACATCCGGCTACTTTTATTTTTTTATGTCTGCAGACAGATCATGTCAGATCATTTCTGGTCTTCCAAATATTTTCATGACAACTGTGTTTCTCAGTAATAACATATTATTTACTGCCTTTGTATACATATATCTTTTTTTTTCTGATTGTACTGCTTCCTACTGACTAACCTTTTGTTCTCTGTTCATACTCATCAAAGGAATTAGCAGCAAGAGTGGCTCAGATATTTCATGTGGCCGAGCCGAAGCAACTGCCTCATGTTCTCACGAGCCCTTCTATGAAGAATATTGATCCTTCAACTGCCTTGCGTTATTTAAGGAAGCTGGATACTTGTGGATTTTCAAACCCTGTTTTAGTGGCATTGACTAAGGCAGCAGTGGCCTTGAAAATGGGAGATCTTGACACGTACAGAAGTGAAATGAAAAGCCATTCAGAGGTAGAGTACCATGCTAACTACAGTCTAAAAGAGGACAGGAGCAGGTCCTGCGGCGTGACTCTCTCCTGGCTTCTTTGCAGCTCATGGTTTCTTAGTAATAGGTAACAGACAGTATTAGATGGGACTTTAGATCTGGCAAATGAAAAAAAAAATAAGGTTGCTAAATATCAGCAGTGGATATTGAAAGATCTTTTCTCATTGAAGTACCACATATATTCAGAATATTATGTTTTGTTGGCTTACTTTTTTATCTGCTTATTTGGGGTTTATTTTATTTTGGTTCTTAATGCCTTTTCCTCCCTTTTTCACCCTAATCCCTTCCAACACTAGATAGGACAGAAAGAAGTTTAATGGGGAGAGGGAGCATAGTTCTCTTTGCCTATTTCCTGCTGGTTAGGGTTGTCGGGTTCCTTGGGGCAAGTCCAATATTCATAGGGTATCTCCAACTTCTTCTTGTCAAACTGCAACAGCAGCAACCAGGAACAGCAGGGGGAGCAGCAGCAGCCATCTTCCACGAAGGCCCCCTTCCCTCTCTGGGCTCTGGCATTTATTCCCACTCAGAGTCCCCAGAATTAACTGTCTACTGCTGGCAAAGATCACGCCCCTTCCAAAACCTGCATGAGGCAAATATTCTGCTGCTGTGGATAGTCTGAAGCAGCCCCGTATCCCACACCTGGGATAAAGAAAAACATGTTTACATAACAAGACACCAAAACTTCCACCACAGTGTTTTGTACAGAAGACTATAAAAACTAAGCCCATAGGCAGAAACTAGAGTAGGTGTTCACTAAAGGCACAACAAAGCAATGATTTCTCTCAAGTATAGAAAAAGGATATTAACTGTAAGCCACAGGAGTTCAGTGGGTACAAAAGCACTCTCTACTCAGGAAAATCACAAGTGATACCATGGAGTTGAAGATATTTAAATGCTACTCCAAAGGATGAACCGTCATTTCTTTTGGAGAGGGGATCATTTGTAGACAGAGGCCAAAGATGATAATCATTTAAGGTGGAGGCAAGGGGATCATTTGTGTACTTACGTCCCAGGCTTACCCTAAGTTACTTGCATGTTTTATTTCATTTAATTCTTGTTTAGTACTGAGGTCAGTTTTATAACTGTTACACGCATGAGACACGGAGCTAAAATAATTTGTTTGTGATTATATAGTTGCAGTTGAGCAACAGAGTGACCTTAGAGCCTGGGCCTTGTTATTGTTGCCTGGTTGGTCAAATGGTCACAACGTAACCATGTTTTCTAAAACAGGAAAATCATCATTGTATCAGAATATGGTTTGCCTGGAGAACAAGTTAGCATCAGAGCTTCTGCTTTGAAGAGTCGAACTCTGAAAATCAGATTTTTCTTTCCACAATTTTGAAAAGACTTAGAATATAAACACACACATATTCCTAATTCAAAACTCTTTACAAAAATGGAACATCTGTAAGTTTAGTTATATATTAATAATTTATACTAGACAGCTAATAATATCCTTTTGAGGAATAAGAGCTAGTTTTTGTGGCTAAAAGCCGAAAATACAGTGTTAATAACTTGTCCCCTAAATCATGAAGGCACTAGGATATATGTATGAGATGAGTAATGTTGGTGCAATGTACATTTTACTGAAACATTTCTTTCTTAATCTGAAGATGAAGCTGGTGAGTGGCTTCATTCTGGAACCTCGGCTGCTAATTCAACAGTGGAAGGGACAGATTGTTCCTACCGAATTTGCAAGTCACTTGAAGGAAACTCAGCCTGGATTGCTTGTGGCTTCAGTGCTGGGCTTACAGCAGAATAGTAAAATTGGAATTGAAGAAGCAGATTCTTTCTTTAAGGTTTGTCGAGCTTAAAATACAATTTTTCTGAATGATCTGATAGAAACCAAAGGAGAGTAGGGAATAGAACTGAAGTAAATTTTCACTCATCATTGAGAAGACAGACTTCTGTCTAATCAATTTATAATGTAAACATACAGATTAAAAGAATGTTTCTTGAGAAATTTCATGCATGCAACCGAGAATCTGTATTTTATTTAAAAAAAAAAAATGTGTAACTTTGCTCTTGTCACGGCAGTCAAGACAAAATCCTAAGTTGCATGACCACATAGTGGAGCGATGGCTCTGTTGTCACGTCACTGGCCTTGCACTTATGTGGGTTGCCCTGTTTTCAAGGTACTGTGTGGAAAGGAAGAAGACACAATTCCTCAGCTTTTGGTAGACTTCTGGGAAGCTCAGCTTGTAGCTTGTGTCTCAAACATGGTATTTCAGGAACTCTTCTTCAAGCTCACAGCTCAGTATATCTGGAGGTTATCTAAGAAGCAGTGTCCTGACACCATTCCATTGAGATCGGCAGAGGACTTGGTAAGATGATGAAATAGTACCTTAAATGCATACACCGTGTGCTGCGTTAATCTGTTCCTAATTTTGTTTTATTTGTAAGACACAGAGAGAGAGAGCTGCACAGTGCACAAATGCACACCCTCTCTCTGGTGTCTACAGGTAACTCTCAGGTTCATTCTCAGGAATACTGTCCATTTCTTTTGCGACAGAATCTCTCGTTGGCATGAGGGATACTACGTAGGCTATACTAGCTGGCTAGAGAGCCCTAGGAGTCCTCCCTTCTGCCTCCTCAGCACTGAGATTACAAACTTGTACCACCACACCCAACATTTTTCCAGGTTCTGGGACTCAAACTCAGGTCATCATTCTTGTGAGTTAAACTCATTACCTACTGAGGCTATCTTCCTAGCCCCTACCTTATTTTTAATGCTTACAACGGGCCTATCACTGAAGTTACCCACATCTTACATAGTTTTCTCACTCTAAGGAATAACAGCTAGGGCTGCTGAGATTGCTTATCAGATAAGGCCTTGCTACCAAGTCTGGGACCTAAGTTTTACCCCTGGGACTCACAGTAGGAGGCAAGAATTGACTCCTGAATATTGTTTTTGATCTGTACATGTGCACACACAAAACTACAGACACAAGTAAATAAATAAATATTTAAAGACTACTGCCTAGAAGGCAGGTATTGTGGCAAATGCCTTTAATCCTATCACTGGGGAGGCAGAAGCAGGTGGGTCTCTGTGAGTTCCAGGCCAGTCAGGGCTACACAGGGGACCCTGTGTGTCTCAGATTCCACACCCTGAAAGTAAAGAATATTCTCCCACTCCTCTATTACCGCCTAGCACTGTCACAGCACACGGGGGGCTTTCTGCAAAACACTGCTACATCTGAACTCAGCGCTGTGGGATTATGTAGAAGGCCTGAGGCCAGGGACTACTGCACTGGGCTTCCGTGTCCTGTTGGGGGCATACCTGTCCGGCTTCAGGTATGTTGTAGGCAACTGTCGCAGTTCTTGGAACCATCCTGCTCTTAAGATCAGTGCTGTTCATTTTTTCTGGAAGGCACTCTGCAGAATATTTGTAAATTTCAAAATACTAGGAAATATTTATTATAGATTATTTGCTGTAGAAGCAATGATACTGTAACTTTTTTCTGGGGAAAACATTCTGCAAAACTTCCTTTTCCTAGGAAAGTATGTAAGTAAGTCTGAGATGTGGCAGAGGATTAATGAATGGATGAAGAAATTGTTTGTTTTACCATTGTTATATTTGGCTTGTGATGGATTTCTGTAATGTTTCAGATAAATGCCTGCAGTCATTATGGCTTAATCTATCCATGGGTACATGTCTTAATAACGTCTGGTTCCTTAGCTGATAAAAATTACACAGAAGACCTTTTAAAATTACAGGTAAATAAAAACGTCTCTTTTACTTTTAAAATATTCAATACATTACAATATAGTATACAGTTTAATATGGTGTGAAATCACATCTCCTGTTAATTTAGAATATAGCATTTTGGGTACAAAAATCTATAAGTGATCACATTCAGGAGCTTTGGAATCGTGGCTTCTGCCAAGAACTGCTGATGGATGAAACATTTGAGCTGCAAGGCTGGTCTCAATTGCAGGTAAATGAGCTGCGTAACTGTCTTCATTTTCAGGATGTACTTGAAAACATCTGTGGGGAAAAAGTGTACAAATATATAGGGATCTTTTTTGTAAGCGTCAGCTTTGTTTGATGTGGCTTAACACAATTTCGACTTCTTACCCATCCCAACCACTCTCTGACCCCAGGAGAGAATTTTTCAAAGGAATTGTGGGACACAAATATGATATAGGAATTCTGACTGTAACTGTTGTGCTTGTGACATGTAGATCAGGCTGGGCTAAATGTGTTTACGTTTTAATATCAGTTGTTGGCCCAAGGACTGAATGTAATTTTTGCCTTTCTTTTGTTTTGTTAATTGTTAACTCACTCTAGCTGGCTACAAATAAGAAAAATCAGTCTTTTCATACTAGCCATTCTGAGTTGAATGATAGATACTCTTGAAACATCCAGGAGCCTGGCCCCCTGTGCCTGCATTGTTCTGGAGGCCTGATTGACAGGCGTTGATTCTCCTGTCTGAGCAGTGCACAGCCTATCAGTCTGCACCGCTCTCATCTCCATAGCTTCCCACCCAGATGCTTAGGTCTTGAATTTGTTTTCCTTATACCCAACGGCTTTTATGCTGTTTCATGTTGCTAGAGCCCTGAAAGCTTTTGCGTGTGCAACTCTGACTTAAACTTTGGGAATTGGTGTAAATGTGGTAACTATTAATTAAAGAGACAGCTGTTGAGTTGGGATGGGCTGGGGAGGAAAATCAGTAGGTTCGATTGTTCAGAGTCGGGCTCCATACTGTGTGGCCTGTAGTCTATTAAAATCATCAGAATTGGTCATGGTGATACATGCCTGTGATTCTAGCATGTGGGAGGTTGACACAAAAGGATCAGTAAATTTATTAGTTAACCACAATATATCACCAAAAAAGATTGTCTCTTATCTCTAGTATCTGTGTGACAGTGAAAGTCTTGAAGTGTTAGCTGCTTATTTGTTCATTTTATTGCTCCCGTCTGAAAATGAGCTGTAAATGTGGTAGATAGCATCGGGCGTTGTCCTCCCAGAACACACAAACAGTGATGTATTAACATTGTCATTATAATGTGCTATGAACTCTTTACTGATAAAGCTTCAAAGCACATTTATAATCACAGTCAAAAGGTGTAACTCAGGGGCCTGGAGAGATGGCTCAGTGCTTACGAGCACTGTCTGCTCTTCCAGAGGTCCTGAGTTCAATTCCCAGAACCACATTGTGGCTCACAACCATCTATACTGGGATCTGATGCCCTCTTCTGGCATGCAGCTGTACATGCAGATAGAGCACTCCTACATTTTATATAATATATTTTTGTATAAATTTATATTTATACAATATATTTATATATAATATACATATGTTATATATAAATATATTTATATTCTATTATATATAATATATTATATATATATTTCAGTGATCATTTAAAATCCATGTAAGGTAACAAAAGATGGATTTTTGTCACTTAATCCATTCAATTAAAATAAATTTTTTGGATTGGGAAGTTGAAGCCAATACTTAAAGTTAGTATTGAAAAGGATTTGTTGATTGCTATAATTTTGTTGTGTGTGTGTGTGTTGTTTTTTTCTGTTTGTGTTCTCTGTTTCCGTTATGACGTATTCATCTGTTTTCTTTATGTGGCATCTTTGATTTGCTTATCCTCTCTTCAGTATGAAGTATTGCTTCTAGTATTCTCTGTGGGGCTGGCTTAGTGGACATAAATTCATTTAACCTTTTCATATCATGAAGAGATTTTTCTTTCTTCAATTATGGCAGATAGTTTTGTTGGATAAACTAGTCTGGGTTGGCATCTGTGGTCTTTTGGGGTACATTGCACCAGACTTGTCTGCTTTCAGTTTCCATCAGCAGCTGTTCTGAAGTGTTTGCCTTTATATGTGACTTGTGCTTTTTCTTTTGCTGTTTTCAGTATCCTCATTGTTCTGTATGTTTAGTGTTTTAACTTGATATTCCATAGGGAATTTCTTTTCTTGTTCTGTTTGGTGTTCTTTGTGATTCTTGTATCTGTATAGTTCTATCTTTCCTTAGTTGGAGAGTTTTCTATAATTATTTTGTAAATCTGTTCTATGTCATTGACATGGGAGTCTTCTTTCTCATCTGTGTCTCTGCTTCTTAGTCTTTTCATAATGCCCTCAATTTCTGCATATTCCTTTCTCCATTTGTTTGTTTGTTTCTGTTTTTCTGGGAACTTTTGCTCTTAAAGATGGAAAATTCACTGATTAAACTTTTCTAAATCCTTTTCTAGTTGTATCTTTTAAGATTATCCATAGATCAGTTAATCTCAGTCATTAAGAACAATAACCATCAGAGCTCCCAAAGCATTTCTTTGGCTCCTATTTAGAGGTGTTGGAGGTTTAAAATTACCTGAGAATGTTTTCAAAACTGTGGCTTTCTTCCCAACCCCAGTGTTTTGGTATGTTTGTCTGTTTTCCCCAGTTACTGTAGGGGCGTATTTGCACAATCATTAGTATAAGATCTGTAAGTCATTGGTAGGTTAGAGAGCAATTATTGATAGGTTAGAGAGAACAGCATGACTACTCTTTACTATATTTATCTTGCTCTTCTCCCAGATTGTCCTGCTTCCTACCCCATCTCATGTCCTGTAAAAGTAGAGAAGCAGAGAAATCTGCTGAATCAGAATTCAGGCAGAGGGATCTTGGTAGTAAAATGGAATACATAGTACATATGCTAAGGGTAGAGAGAGTTGATTTTCAGTACCGAAAAAAATGAAGATGTCTAAGAAACCAACCTTAACAGTATTGTATGGTATTTGGGCCATTTTTAGTCCGGTGATAGTTTTGCTGAGTATTTCTTTATTTGAGACAGTGTCTCATTCTGTAGCCAGGCTAACCTCGAATTCACTGTGTGGCCCACATTGTTAGCAAACTCTGAGCTCCTCAAGATTTTGTCTCTTAGTGCTGGGCTAAAAAGATGTGATGCCATGCCTGGCTAAGTATTGTTTAGTGTTTCTTATTATACTGATTTTTAATATATTTAGTAATGTAGCTAAAATGAAGTAAAACTTTACAAGTAATCCACGTTGTGCTCTTTTGACTAGTTTCATTTCAGCCGTGGTTGGGTACCCATGGTTTTCTCTCTTCCTGCCATACCCTCTATCCCATTTAATCTGGGGCCAGTAGACAAGTAATCCGTGCCTCCTTCCTTGGTGGGAGACACCATGAGTTGGAGAGTCCCACTTATTTCATCTTTGCTATCGTACTACTAGGAAATCTTTCAGATAAATTATTTAGCTTGGGATAAGAAAATATACCAACCTTATTTTCCTGGCTACTCCTTGGTAGATACTTGGGATAACATAATCATGCTGATTAAGAGTGTGTGGAAGATGTTCCAGGTCATCCTGTAACTCTGAGACAATGCTGTAGCAGAAGATGAAGAAAAAGAAATTAAGCTATATCTCTTAATAGGAAAAGGGAAAATGGACATTATTTTGGTGGTAGAATGAAAAATGCTATAGAATTTTAAAAATAAAGAATAAAAAACTAGTAAAGTTGCTTAAAAGGAAAATACTAGTAAATTTATGAATATTGAAGTAATGTCAGTGCCTGTCATTCAGTATTCAGCAGGTGCCGTTGACACAAATGACTAGGTCCTAAGCAATCACTTTAAAAGGAAATTGCTGTTATTTGGGGAACCAGTAAGATGCGTGTCACAGTATGTTTCTAACTCAGAAGAAAACTTGGGGGACTCACTTCTCTCTTCTCTTATCTGGGGTCCAGAGAATAAACTGAGGTCACCAGGCTTCGTTGCCATGTTTTCTTATCTACTGAGCTATCTCCTCACCACAGAATTGCTTTTAAAAAATACATTAAAGTTTCTTTGCAGTTATTGTTCTAGTGAGCGACTTAGGAGAGGGATGGATTATTTGGCTTCTGCTTCCTGATTACAGTCTGTCATTTAGAGGAGTCCAGGGAGGAGCTCAAGCAGGAACCTGAAGGCCAGACTGCCTGCTATTCCATGTAGCCTTACCTCCAATTACGGAGCTCACTCACAGCCAAGGAAGCACAGCAGAAACCATGTTGGATGCTGCTTTCTAGTTTTATCTCAGGCTCATGCTTAACTGGCTTTCTTTCTTTTTTCTTTTTAACTTTGTATTGATTCTTCGTGAATTTCATATCATACAGCCCAATCCCGCTCATCTCCCTCCCTGTTCCTTTGTATTCGCCCTCTGCCCTTGCAAACTGCCCCCCAAAATAAAAAAAAAAAAAAATTAAAAAAAAAAACACAAAAATCAAACAGAAAGGGGGCAGCACCTCATCTTAGAAGCTCTAGTCTACAGTGTGTCACTCCGTATACCCTTTTGTCTACACATCTTAACTTGCAAATGTTCATTTCAGTGAGCCATTGGTCTGCTTGGAGGCCTCTGGCTTCTGCTGCACCATCAATCCTGGAACCTCACCAAGTCTCCTCGCGGATACCCTGTTGTTGCCCTGTGTCATGGAGATCCTGCAGCTTTGGATCTGCTGGACCAGGTTCCACCAGTTCATTGATGAGGTGGATGCTGGGTGGGACAACTCAGAGCTGTATTTGGGCCTGGGCGGTAGCTGCGTTGGGCAGCCAGCTTTCTAATACAGCCAAAGACCAATTGCTCAGGGAAGTTCTGCCGCAGTGAACCAGGACCTTCCCCATCAATTACCAGTCAAGATAGTACCTCACAGACATACCACAGACCAAACTAATAAAGGCAGTTAGCCCATTGAGACTCTTAGGTGTTAAGGTGACACTTAGTGCTAATGAGGATAGCCTCTGTGTGTGTGTGTGTGTGTGTGTGTGTGTGTGTGTGTGTGTGTCTGTCTGTCTGTCTGTCTGTCTGTCTCTGTGTCTCTCTTTCTCTTTCTCTCCCTGATTGTTACTTAAATTTTGGAAAAGACAAGGAGCTGTTAAAACAAACAGGACTTTGTTTTACCCCATCATGCACTGAACTAATCTCTGCTTCAAGTTGCAGTGTTCTTCCAGAGATCTTCCTATAAAGGTTTTATACACTGTGCCAATTTTACAACATTGGTCATACTTTGCATACAATTTTATCTTAAGTCATTCTTGCTCAGTATTGTTATTTGTCTCATTTTCTCCTTACCTGACCTTTAGAAGTATAATTTTGTTTATTCTCTTGTGTTCCATGAAGTATGTGCTGTATTTTATTGATCTGGTTCCTCTTGTTGGACATCACCTGTCATCTTTCATTGATATGAATACTTGTACCAAACATTATGGGGCAAAAATCTCTGACCACATGTTGGTAATATCCTTAGGTTCGAGTCCCAATTCAGATGATTGGTTTGTATTAAACAGATTTCTTTAAAGTAGAGCTGAATTTCAGATTATTTAGTGTTTCAGCACAAGTACTTCAGGGCCGTATTCATGTTCTCTAAAATTCCATTTGCTTTCCTTTTTTGGCAGAGTGGGATCTTATTTTAAAAAAAAAAATGCCGCATGTTGTGTTTTATTTTGGGATGTTTCATTCCATAACATTTCACTTTTTTGTTCGTAGTCTCTCATGTGTAGCCCTTCACTTGACATAGCTTCCATTATGCCACTTCTGGAGCCACTCTCAGAAGACACTGTTGCTGGCCTCAGTGTTCATGTTCTGTGTCGTACACGCTTGCAAGAGTATGAGGAGTGCATAGACACATTGCTAGAGAGATGCCCAGAGGCAGTCATTGCATATGCTAATCAGGAACTGAAAGAAGACCACTGGGTATGCATTTCAGATTGTGTCCTCATCAGTGGTGATAAGATTTGGTAACTTGTTGGCTTATCTACAGAATGAGAACTGTTTAGTTAGTCTAGCTTTATGTGGCTGTGTGTCCAAAGAGCAGGCATGTTTAATGTTAGACATTTTGAGTACTTTCAGGTGCTATTAAAATGCATGGAGATGATATATATCATCTTTAAAGAGTTCTTGTTTTCAGATAAGATTGGTGATTATTCGAAGATGTGGGAGACAATGTGAAACATTCCTCTTCTGTATTTAGTCTTTGATTTAACAGTTAGAGTTTTAGCTTTTTTTTTTTTTCTGCTTGCTTTAAGATAGAAGGAGGACATATTCACATTTTTCCTTGAAAATAAATGTGTACATGTGTACCTGAAGCTATAGGCCTGCCTTTTAGTTTCTTCAGAAGTCTAGCTGCTGATAAAATGTTTGTTATGATAACAGTGATTCCTTAGCCAAAGGATATATTTTTTTCTATGTGCTCTCTCCTTCTCGTACTTTCATTTGAAATCTGAGGATAAGATGCACCAAACTAAAATGAATTCATTTTTCCCTAAGATAGATTCTGTGGTGGAAAAAACTGCTGCCTGAACTTTGTCAGAAAGTCAAGTGTGGTGGAGAGAAACACCAACTTTACCTGTCACTGTTAAAAGGTAAAGCTCCCTTTTTTTTGATGACTGAATTTTACACGCAATTTTAACTTGAACAAGTTCCCACTTTCTCTAGGCTTGTTTGTTGCCTTCGTAATGCCAAGAGAAAGGGCAAAGGAGTCATCAGGGTGTCTTCAGCTTTCATGTTGTCCCTTAGCATCTCTAGTCACAGGGCTGATACCCTTAGAAGTTAATATTTCCAGACTATTACAGGATTATTCTAATAGAACCTCATAATTCCAATATTTAAAAAAATACGGAAGTTTAAACTGCCTTAGGTTTTTAATTTACTTCATGTGGGAAATTAAGATTAGTAAAATTAATTGTTAAGTATCAAAGATCAGTAAGTTCTTCAAGGATTTTAACCCTGAACAGGTGAATTACAGTTTTCTGCAGCCTTGTAATTATTTGGGTTTTTATAATTCATTTGTCAATCTTGATGTATGTTTTTCTTTTTCTGTCCTAGCATGTGTTAACTATTGAGGTTATGAAAAGGGTAGGGTTGGTTGGGGGTCAGTTACTTGCTCTTACAGCTCTCCTCCATCTTCACATATCAGCAGTGTTATTATCTAATCAACAGAGTCTTCATCCTTCCTTTCCAAGAAACTTTTTAACTTATGTTTATTTATGACATGTACATACGTATGTGTGCACGTGCTTGCAAGCTGCAGTGTGTGTGTTGGTTAGCGTTCTCTATAGGAACAGAAGTGATAGAATGAGTATCTAGATCTTTATCTGTCTATCTGCGTATGTGTATGTATAAAGGAAAGTTCTTAGAAAGGCTTACAGGCTGTGGTTCAGCTATTCCAACAATGTCAGTCTTCTAACAGAAAGCCCAGGAATCCAGTAGTTGTTGAGCCCAGGAGGCTGGATGTTTCAGCTGGTCCTTAATAAACACCGGAATCCCACATAGGTAGACTCTGATACCAGTGAAGGAGTGAACTTGTCAGCAAGAGCCATGGCAAGCAGGCAAAGAGCAAAGGCTTGGGTCTTCCTCTTCCTTTCCATATTTAGGGTGAGCCTTCTGACCCCAAGTGATCTGAATTTAAGATGAGCTTTCCTACCTCAAATGATCCAGTTAACTACAAATCCCTCACATTTGTGGCCAGCTGCTTAAATTTTTAGTTAATTTGACAACCAAGAAAAGCCATCATAGTGTGTATATGGAGATCAGAGAACAACTTTTGGGGACCAGCTTTCTCCTTTCATCACATGAATCCTAGGGATCAAACCCAGGTCTTTAGACTGCCTAACAGGTGCCTTAATCCACTGAGCCATCTCACAAGACAACTTCATCGTTTCTTATTTTATACCTGCATGGTGTCTGTCCTTACCTTATCTGTCATTATTTCTATAAATATTCCACTTTCTCTACTTTTTTTTTTTTTTTTTCATTTTTTTCGAGACAGCGTTTCTCTGTGTAGCCTGGGCTGACCTGGAATTCGCTCTGTAGACCAGGCTGGACTCAAACTCACAGAGATCCCCCTACCTTTGCCTCCTAGGTGCTAGGATTAAAGGCGTGTGCCATCAACCACCAGGCCCAATTTATCCACTTTTAAATAGGCTTCTCTGTGTGTGCACACACAGGATTGATGCTAAAGCATTGAGTGCTCCATGTGATTGACCATTTTATCTCAAGGGCTGGTACAGAGTTTCCTTCATTTTTGTGGTACATCGTCCTTATTAGCCCTGCTTTCCTGTAGGGAAGGGTCTGTGGGTTTTTATTGAAGTCTCATTTCTTTGTGGTCTTCCTTTTGGCAGCTATAGTACACTGAGAAGAACTCAGAAGTAGAGTCTGAGGATTTGGAACTGAGTCCTGATCTGCCATTTACAAAGGGATCTGGAATAAGCCAGTTTTTTTGTTGTTGTTGCTGTTTTTTTTGTTTGTTTGTTTGGTTGGTTGGTTGTTTGGTTGGGTTGGGTTGGGTTGGGTTGGGTTGGGTTGGGTTGGGTTGGGTTGGTTTTAATGAATGAGTTGCTCTGTCTGTATGTACACCAGTATGCTAGAAGAGAGCATGATGGTCATGAGGTGCCACATGGTTGCTGGGAATTGAACTCAGGACCTATGGAAGAGTAGCAGTGCTCTTAACTGCTGGGCCATCTCACCAGCCCCAAGCCAGTTTTTGTTTTGTTTGTTTTTGTAAATATTGTTAGATTAAGGAGAAGTTCTTACCTTCTAGAGAATAGCGTTGAGTATAACCACAAGAAGATCAGGTTGAAGATAGCAGATAGTGACTTAAGTGACACCTTTAGGAACCTGAAGATTTCTTATCTTTTCACTGTGGTCTTAGTACTCAAACTTACTGCTTTGGAGAGTTACTGTTGTTGGGAAGGGTTCCTTCCCATCATATCAAGGATGTTAGTCAGCATCTTTGGGTGTATCATCACCACCCCAGCAATGACAAATGCAAATATCTCCAGGTGTTCAGGTGTCACTCAACAGAATCATCCCGGCTGAGAACCAGTGCACTCTGCTGAGATATTGGAATGAGAGTGAAGAGGTGGCTTATGTAAGGAAGAATTTGTTACTGACCTTGAAATAACGAACTATTATTTTTTAATTTATTTCTGTTTATTTACATGTCTTAGGTGTGTGAGTGTTTTGTCTGCATGTATGTGCTTCATGTGTATGCCTGCTATCCTCAGAGACCAAAAAAAAAAAAGGAATCGGGTTCCTTGGAACTGGAGTCACAGAGAGTTGTGAGTTGCCACGTGGGTGCTGGGAATCAAACCCAGGTCCTCTACAAGATAAGCCAGTGTTCCTACAGCCCACTACTTTCATTTTTTTAATCTAGTACTGTAATATATTCTAAAAATAAAGTGACTAATAGCATTTAGTGAGTGTATTTTAGACATGCTGGAGGGTTTTAGGTATACAGATTTATCGTTCTTAGATAACTTGTAGATTTCGGGAGCTTGTGAGTGGAGTAAAGCAGCTCATTTTCATCTTTTTGTGTCTGCATAGGTAAGTGTGTAGTGTGCATACTTGTGTATGTGTTTGGGCACACGTGAGCGTGCAGACACCTGCAGTAGTCCAGTGTTGACATGCGGTGTCTTCCTTGATTACTGTCCACCGTACAGATTGAGGCAGTGTCTCTCTGCACCTGGAGCTTGCTGTTTTGGCTAAAATGCCAGCTAGCCAGCTTGCTCTGGGAAATCCTTCTCTCCTGCTTCCCACACATTGGAGTCACAGATGGGCTACCACGCCCACGTGGATTTTTATGTGGGTTCTGAGGCTCTCAGTCATTATGTTTACATGGCAGGGACGTCTCCCACTGAGCCGCGCCTTCAGCCACACTTTCACTTGTTACTTGTTTGTTGTGTGTGCACACATGTCTGCATATGCTGCGATGCGCGTGTGGAGGTCAGAAAACAACTTTGGAGCCGCTCCTCTCCTCCCACGTCGTCAAGCTTGTATGGCGCACACATTTAACTGCCGAGACATCTTGCTGGGCCCCTCCTTCCCCTGTTTTAATCTTTTCTTAGCTTCAGTCTCCCCAACTGAACCACACACCCCACCTATGAATGTATCCTCTTTGGAATGAGGCCTGGATTAAATAAATAAAATCAGTAAGGGATTCAGGAAGAAACCAAATAAGGTATAGGAGGAGGTTTTAGAATACTGTACAAATTTAAGGTGTTGACCTAATTCTTAGAATTACAGTTTATATTAAGGTCTCACTGGTGGGAGAAAAGGGTTGAAAAGTGTTGATATTTTTGTTGACTTTGTAACTGCTCAGTACTTAACCCAAGTGAAAGTTACTGTAGCCAGGCTACTACTGACAGGCTCCACATTTAGGTAAGTAAGGCGTTTGAAAGGAAGACATTAATATTTTATGTGTTCCATACAGGTTTTGCAAATCAGTTAGTGGCAGCTGTTTATTAAGATCATCTTATATGTGAGAGAAGTATTCTGTTGTGTTCTCAAAGGAACTCTGGAAGCTAGCAGATGGTACCAGGACTTTAAATCGTGTGTGTGTGTGTGTGTGTGTGTGTGTGTGTGTGTGTGTGTGTGTACGCACGGATAGGGGTATATATACATGAGCGTAGGTAATCTCAAAGACCAAACACGTCAAAGCTAGAACTAGAATTAAACGAGGTTGTAAGCCACCTGACATGGATGCTGGCAGCCAAAGTAGGGTCCTCTGGAAGAGCAGCAAGTGCTCTTAGCCGTGGCATTATATTTCCAGCCCCTAAGGAGCATTCCTAAAGTCACTCAGCATTTAGGTTGAAGAGTCTCCATCCCTTCTCAGATGACCCTGATTTTTTGCAAAGCTAGAAATCCTTCCCATATGTCACTGCTGTAGAGTTCTTTAATTTCTTAGTGACAGGGCCGGCCATCCCATGTGTGAATGATGATTTAGGTCGACAGGTGACTAAGTGGATTTTATGGTAGCCCTGCAAATGGGTAAGGATCACGCAGGAGATGATGCTGGAATCTGAGCAGACGTAGAAGTAAAGAAAGCTTTGCCAGGAACATTATTCTTAGGAGAACAAGATCTTGAAGGCATTCTTATTATTTATTTTTGTGGTGTGAGTGAGGGTATGTTTGCGTACGTATGTACAAGACATTGTTCCTCAAGAGCCATCATCCTTTTTTATTTTATTTTATTTTATTTTTTGGGAAAGGATCTCTCACTGGGGCTAGCCACATGGAACCTGCAGCTGCCCAATCAGGCTGCACTGGCTGGACAGCTGAGGGGTCTGCCTGTCTTTGCCTTCCCAGATCTAGGGTTATGGCTTGCAGCATGTGGGAGCCCTCAAGCTTGTGGGACAAGCACTACACCAACTGAGCTGCTGGGTGCTGAGCTCTCTGAAGGCACCGTTAGCAGGGTGGCACGGGGCAACACCAACCGTGTAGTAAGAGAAACATAAAATTGTCTACTTGTCTTTGTGAAATGTCTGCCCACACCCCCGCCCATGCCACCTGGCTCTCTTTTATTGGTGCTGAGGAGCGAATCTAGGAAATTGTGCATACAAGGCACTGCTGCTGACTGTGTCCCCAACCCCATTAGAATCCTTAATATTGGAAATGATTATTAGAGCACTTTACTAGTTAGCAGAAAGGTATACGTTCATGATAAAACATGTATTCTTATTAATAACACGAAAATCTCATTATAGAAAAGAAAATGTAGAAATGTAGAAAATGTTTTCTAGTAATTAATGGTATTAATTAATGAGCAAACAATCATTATGTATTAACTGTAGTTTCAACATTGAGGCAGCATCCATGTGATAGTATTTTTCATCAGTAAATGGTAGAAATTTACTAAAAGATAATGTAGCAATCTACCATTGAATTAGTAATTCAAATTCCAAGAGTTAAATACAAAATAAATATTGAACAGCTTTAGAAGGGATAAATTAAGAATTACGAACTGTGATGTGTGGATTAAAGAGATTTTTTTATAATTCTATTTTGTTAATTTTATAATTCATTTTGCTACTTGAAGGAAATTGGTAAAAGAGCAAATTGGTTAAAAAAGAGAGACTTTTAGTTGTAACTTATGCATTCATTCTTCTTTTTCCACAAACAGAAACCCTGTCAGTTGTGGCTGTGGGACTGGACCTGAGGGATTTCTTGAATGTTCTCCCAGAAGACGGAGCTGCAGCATTTTTCCTGCCCTACCTTCTTTTCTGCAGCCAGAAGAAATCACTGACTTGAAGGTATCCTTTCTACAGTGGCATGAGTGACTGCACTTTGAATGCTCGGTCCCAGATAAAATGAACCCCAGGGGTTTTGTGTTAATGTTTATTACAGCTGCTCTAAAGGTGCTTACCTTACCATGTAATGGTAGCTGTTAGCTTAATCTACAACCTGAACCCATTTACTTGTCCAGAGTGTAAGAAAACTTCAAGATGTAAGATGTCTTCTCGTGTACTTCCTGTTGTTGTTGTTTGTTGTTTACTCTTTATCCTTTGTGGGCCTGGATCTCAGTAGGAACCTTGCGATGACCTCAATCTATGCAATCCTCTCAAGCATTACAGTGTTAAGTACCATGAATGTATTTTCAAAGTATTCAAATGTATTTTCAAAGACACAGCCTTCTGTTGTGAGAAAGGGCATGGACTCAATGTTGGAGGCGTGACAGTCCTGTCCACCCAGGAGCCACTGGAAAGAAATACATTGCAAGTATGTTCACATGCCCCACTTGCTGGTCAAGCAATATCCTGATTATTATAGATTTTTTCTACTGGTTACTAGTTTATATTTTTACATAAGTATGAGAAAGATGTAATGTTTCATCCCAGTGAAAGAGTGCATATTTGCCTTTTGAGCTGCTTTTGAACCTCATGGTGTGCTTCTCTCAGAAGTAAATGAATGGACTCTTGTCTGGCTGTTAGCATGACTTGTTGAGTTCACATATTTTCATCCAAAGACTTGTTTCTAGTTTTCATATCTGTATATTCTTATCCATATCTGTATACTCAACCCGCAGTATATGAGAAAATAAAAACTATCATGATGTTCATATCTATCTTTTTAGTACTTCCTTGTTTGATTGACTGGTTGATTGATTTGGTTTGTTTTAAAGATGTATTTTTATATGTATGTGTGTGTGCCCAAGTGTATGTATGTGCATCGTGTACATGCAAGTACCCAAGGAGGCCAGAAGAGGGCGCTGGGTCCTCTAGACTTAGAACTGCTGATGTGGATGCTGGGACCTCAGCCTGGGTCAGCTGAAAGAGCAGCTAGTACTCTCAGCGGTTGAGCCAGCTTTCCAGCCCTTTAGTAACCTGTTGTTGCGGATTGTAGTGTTCAAGTTGAGCCCATGAACCCAGTGAGACTGTGAAAAATGTCTACTCGATAGTGTCTGTGGAACCCTGATTTGAAGTCCTCTTGTTGGCAGTTTCCTAATTTATTATTTTATTATCTGAATTTTTTAAAAATGTTATAATCTTGGACTTTGCCTTTCTCTAGTTTCAGATAACCTCTTTCGACTATCTTTTCAGGTTTCTACAAAGTGCAGCTTAGGGTCTTTTTTTTTTTTTTTTTCTTTTCTTTTCTGTACTCTTAGCCCCAACCCCTTTCTCCATGGTTTGTTAGAGGGACTTATGAGAAGGCAAGAGTTGGAGCCACTTCAGTGAACTTTGTAATGAAACTGTGAAGACAGCCAAGGACAGGATCTGCTCATATATTTTTGGTTATAGAAAACAAAATGTAGAATGTTTGTTTTTTGAGAAAACAAAATGTAAAATGTTTGGTTTTTATTTGTTTATTTGCAAAGTCCTAACAATGCAGGTGTATATGGACTTTGTAAAGCAATTCTGTTACCCAGTGAACAAATACATGTCATGATATAGTCTGTTGATCTGTCCATCTGCAGCATTACCAGTTCCCTCACAAATGAACAGTTGAGTGGATTTTTTTAAAATGTTTGTAGCTAATCCAGCATTAAATGTTGTATTCAGCAGTGACACATACAGTGTTATGACTCATTTTCTCTTTTTTCCACTTATCACCAATTTATTTCTTTCAGCCAGACTTAGACTCTATAGAAAAAGAAATTGTAAGATGATTACTTAAAATAGTATTTTATATGGTTAAAGTCTATACATGAATGCTTTACATGTAGTCCCCCTTTTTTAAAAATACTAGTTACTTTGATTATTGCTTAATTCATTTATTTTTCATGTTTAAAAATCTCTCATTCTAAAATGCTTTAATTAAGGAAAATTTATTTTCTTCTTTGCAAAAGATTCTAATTAATCATAAAGGAGAAAAATGGTAAGTGTGCTGTGGAAAGTCTTGGCAGAGACCACACTAACCCAAAGCTTAGAGTTCAGCAATGACAGGCACGTTAGGAGGTAGGGCTCCCGCTGGAGGGATGAGCACACCCGGTGCCACAGTAGATCGCCCGAGCCCCACGAGGAAACACTGAGTGAACGCACACGGAGGAGTCTACGAGATGGTGGCTGCTCTGTGTTACAAAATGTCACTGGGGTGACTGGACCTGGTTTTGATTCCCAGACACCCACAGTCCGGCTCATAAGCATCTGTAACTCCACTTCCAAGGGATTTGATGCCCCCTTCAAGACACCGCAACCAGGTACACAAGTGGCGCCGAGACATACATGCAGGCAACACATCCACGCACACAAAATTAAATTTAGAACACACGTCAGTGATGTTAAAGACAAAAGTGAGAAGCTATCCCTCTGGATCTTTGTAGGAGATGGGGTTTTCTTTTTGGGTAAAGAGTATGATGGGATAGTTGTTGAAATCTGAAAAAGAGCTATAGTTTTAAATCACCTTTTAAAACATTTTAGGCACTGATGATGGTTACACATAAAAATATATTTAGGAAATAAAAATATATATCCATACATATATATGGACATATGTTTGCACGCAGACATTTTCAAGTGCAATACAGGAGAAAGCAGGAGAGGGAAATCAAGAGAGAACAAAAAGGCAGCTGTAACTTTCTAAGTATGGGAAGAAGGCTTGTGGGAATTCTTAGTTCTCCTTCTGTAGCTTTTATATGAGACTTAAATTATGTCCAAAGAATGTTTCAAAAATTCTACTTCATTAAATGAATGTTTTTAGATATTGTCCAGAGTATTGTAATAGATCTGACTATTTAGAATTACAGGTGTGTATAGTCTGAATTGATGAATTTAAAATTAAGCCAGCTTTCCCACTATAGTCTGTATCTGAAAGTTTATCTGACAAGAGTAGTTATAGTTCAATAAAAGTACTTTTTACATTTGTCAGAGGAGGTTTTATGTGTTTCTTCTGATAGGGAAAAAGAAACATTGAATTGACAATGGTAGTATAACGACCATTTTTAATTATTTCTTTTTTTTTTTTTTAAGAGACAGTTGTCATCTGATGCATAATGTGACAAGGTTTCACTTTATATCTATATAATTTCTCTGTGTAATGAAAGCCAGTATTTTTTTTTTTTTGAGATGCAGAGTTGATGTAGTTTTCCAAACTTATTTAAAGATTTAGACTGATATGTGTGGCTCCCTATTTTTCTGTGTGGAGGTCAGACTTTTTTCTGGTATTCTTTCTTTCAGTCCTGTATAATTTCTTTTTGTCAAATTCAATTCTCTCAAATTTCTCCATGTTCTTTCACATTGGTTATTTGCCCTATAATCCTCTCTAGTGTTTTAAAAGCACGCTCTCCTTAAACAGCAGTCACCTCTTGCTCTTCACCCAGGCTTGTTAGACAAGGAAGGAAGTCTCTAGTGTTTCTATGTGCAGGACCAGCCTGCGGCAGGCAGCAACATCCTCTGTGTGAAACATTCGCATACACAGGTTTTCAAGTGCCCCTTCCTCTCTGTTGCTTTTTTTGCATGGTTTCTTTGCAAGCAAGCTTTTCTCTTTCTCCTCTCTCTTTTTCTCTCTGTCTAACTCTCTTTTTCTTTTTCTTTGTTTTTTTGTTCCTTTCTTCCTTCCTTTGGTATGGGCGTTTTGCCTGTATACACTTGTGTGCCTTGTATCCAAAGAGACCAGAAGAGGGCAGCACAGTCCCTAGAACGGAAGTTACAGTTATACACCTGGAGTTACAGAGGGTTGTGAGCCTTTAGGTGCTAGGAATTGAACCCTGGTCTTCTGGAAGAGTGGCCAGTGCTCTTAACTGCTGAGCCATCACTAGTCTTATCAGCTTGTTTATTTAGAGAGTGGTCCTCAACCTTTCTAATGCTGTGGCCCATTAATACAGTTCCTCATATTGTAGTGACCCCCCAACCAAAAATTTATTTTTGTTACTACTTTATAACTTTAACTTTGCTACTGTTACTAATCATAATGTACATATTTGTGTTTTCTGATGCTCTTAGGTGACCCCTGTAAAAGGGTCCCTGGACCCCCAAAGAGGTTACAATGTACAGTTTAGGAATCACTGATTTAGATACTGTTTCTCACTTTCTTTCTCAGCCTCTTTGACTTTTAACCTTGGTCAAACTGTGGCATTAAACCCATCAGTTTATTTACCTATTTAGTTGGTTTTGTATTACCGGTAACTACTCTAGTAGATACATATATATATATCTATATATATATAGATATATATATATATTTTTTTTTCAAAAAAGGTGTTGGTATAATAGTAAAGATGAAAAGCTCGTTTACAATAAGGTATAATTGTGAGTGACTTTTGGATTTGTAATACATTGACTTGGACTGGGAACATAGTAGTAATGCTCTAACATCAATGAAACCATGAACTCTGTCACTAGGACCACGACATACACTCGCACACACAGTCATAGAGACATGCACACACATGCTTGCACATGCGCACACACACAAACACAAACATGCACATGCATGCTCCTTTTGTTTTTTTAAAGAAGAGGCATATTCTGTACGTAACTTCCTCCAGTTAGATTTCCCATTTCTAATTCCAACAATCTCAACTCAGAAAACAAGAAGCTGTAAACTACAGTAATGGAATTTCACTCTTTGTATATTTTGTTGGTGTGTATCCACAAGAAGATTGTTAATTTTCCTGTGGTCTGTGTGTCTGTTTGTACTTACACATGTAAGAGTTGAGGAATAAAGATTTTTAATTTTAGTTTTTTTTAGATCCTTTGTGAACAGTTTTTCTTTGGTATCACAAAGAGAACTTTTCTGGGTGGTGACTGAAGTTATACTGCTTTAAGTTGCTCCAGAGAAAAATGTTAGTGTTTCCTCCAAGAAAGAAATTAAGTTCTAAATGTTCATTTAGAATGTTTAGAATTTGTAAGTCATGGTTGCTTTCTTGTTTTAAAAAAAAAAAACAAAAAAAAAAAAAACAAAAAACGATTGTTTTTTCTTACACAGCTTTGTCTGTGTCTACACTGTCAAGCTAGCGTCGGTTTGTACAGCGCTGTTCTCGCTGTCGGCAAGTTACCAGTGCCCCGCTGCCCCAGCAGTCCAGCGCTCCTATCTAAAGACAGAAGACAGACACCAGGACAGCCAGTCCCCGAGTGCTCCCCCCGGGAGCCGTGTTTAGATAAAGCAGGAATCTTACTGCACTCATGTTACGGATCTGCAGGTACTCCCTGGATATTCACCTTGATTTGGTAAAACAGTGTAGGTCGTTTCCATCCCAGCATGGACGTGGTCGGTCACGTGGCAGTGGAGTAACCAGGTTCCAGGTGTTTGGGGAAACATTTCTAGGGTTTGGTATGTTCCGGGGAAAAGGTCAAAGACATCAGAACTATAAACTCCCCTGTGCTTCATTAGAAAAACGACAAATATGAGAGTTCATTCAGTAGCTTTTCCTTAGCCAATCAAAATATTAGAAAACCAGATGCATTTTAAAACAAAATCAAATCCTTCTGCATTTTATGTTGTGAAATCTGTGGTCCTCACTTACAGCCTCAACACTCTGAGGCCATCAAGGAAAATGTGAAGGAGGGCATTTATTAGTGAGGACAGCTATGTCCAACACCATATCTCTGGCTTGCCTCCTTGTCAGACACTTGAGAGACACAAAGCAACCAAGCTGTGGCCTCATTTCAACCTTCACTTGTGCATGGATTCATTATAGACTATCTTGCTTGTGCAACTGCAAGGCAAAGAGAGTATATAGGAAGCTGAAGAGGAGGCTGATAGAGAATTTAAATGATAGTGGCAGTTCAAGTATTCTCAAATATGTTGCTGGCATATTTCTATGGAAATAATAATATTGAAAGCCCATCAATATTAAATGTATAGAAAAGAGTACAGATTATGAAATATACATTGTGCAGTGTGCCCTTTTTTTTTTTTTTTTTTTTCTTTTTGGTATCTTGTGGATTTTCTACATTAGTTTAAGAGCAGAAAAAAAAAATGCATCTTCAAGAGGACCATTGCTTTCACAAGATAAAAGTTAGTAGGATTGTGTTCTGGGAACGTCAGTTGCTAGACACCAAATGTGAAATCTTGTCCTTATCGCTGCTGCCTTGCCCACCCTTATGTGAACTCTCCTGCCCTCTCTGTCAGCCATTCAGAATGCGTGAGCAGAACTATGAAAGACAGAAAAAAAACCTGCCAGCGTAAGTACAAGGAAGCTGGTGTATCAGTGGAGACCGCATGCTGCTCATGTTGTGAAAATGTCCCTGTTTCATAGATCTCCCTGAGGCAGCATCTTCTTGGCTAGAGTTAACTCTATTAAGCAGAGCAAGAATGACCGCTGCAGGTGGCCCTTACCTTGTACTGGAAGCTGTGGCCGTGGAAGTGAACGCTGTGCAGGTCTATTTCATTGCCCATTCCCATCACATACCAGTTGACTTCATCCCCCACGTGCATGGTGAGGCCTTGGAGGTTTCCAAACATTTTCCCATTGATAGCTGAGGAGAATACGGTACATTTCAGAATAGTGTAAACCCGTAACAGCTTCTCAGGAAATGTTAACACGTAACATAGCAGAGCTTACTTCACTATCGATGGGGAAAACAGATCTTTCAAGTTCAGTGTTATCACCGCTTTTTTTCAAGTTACTTTATATGAAGAGCCTTAATCCTGCTTGTGGATTCCTTTCATGGGGATTGAAGATTTGGAATTGGGAGAGGAGTTAGTAAAGATTTTAAATATAGCTCATTTTGTTTTTGAACAGAATTTTATATCACTGTGTTTTGTTTTGTTTTTTTTTTTAATAAAACAGCCTTACAACAAGATTTTCTTTGAAAGAAGAAAAAGGTGAAAAAGGAAAGTGTTTTGGAGTAGTTTCTCATACCATGCATTTTATTGCTTTCTATGAAGTCCTCATTGTCTTTGTCTACTTTCTCAGGGTGATCAGAGTACATTTTGATGTTGTCATCTAAGTACCAAGATTCATTCTCATCAAACACTAGAAACAAGAGGGAAAACTCCACTTTCTTTATAGGATTGAATACTTTCACGTAAGATTTCCGACAAACAATCAGTGGGCCTATGAGTCCACTATAGAGATCCTGAAAACAAGCAGAAACTACAGTTATCCTGGAAGTGCTCCCCTGAGGGAGGCGAGACCTTACCCACAATCCCAGCGGTTTTGGAGGAGTTTGTTTTAGTGGGATGCCCAGCCTAGAGGGAAGCCACCACTTCAGTGTCCTCATACTTGACATAGTTAAGTTGAAACAATGATGCATAGCAGACAGGTCACATGGCTGGTGTGGAACTTAGATATGTCCAGAGGCCAAAAGTTGCCTTAACCTAATGAGCTACCGGAACAAACAGTGTTGGTTGTTCATCTCATAAACTCGTGAGCTCATCATGGTGAGCCCAGCATTGTGGCCGTCACTGTATACCCATGGCCACTGTATACCCACGGCCGAATGAAACAAAGCCATGGAGTTCACATAGGAGCTCACCTAGGAACAGAAGACGTGAGTAGAAGCCAAGGAAATTGTCCATTAGCATTAGAATGCTAATACCTACGAGAATACCTACATGAAAGACCACAGTTAACTCTTAAACACCTGGGGAGTTTGGTGTGGCCAGGTGCTTTTCAGGGATGGCAGGTTGTGTCTTGTATCATCCTCGGGCTATATCATATTAGTGAAGTTCAGGCTGCGTTCCAGCCTCTGAAACATTGGACAGGGAATAACGGCAGTCTGCACGTTATTCCAGTCACATTCATTGGTCAGTGGAGGGAAGATTTGGTGGGGAAAGTCTGTAGGCTGGGCGGCAGCAGCTGAAACAAACTACAAGAACTGAAGCATGAAAACAGAGAGGAATAGGCTGAGCAACTGATAGTGGCAGATTGTCTGGGAGAGAGCAATGGTTTCAGGTTCCTGCATGAGTGAATTGGTAGAACCTGCTACTTGTCCTGTCGTTTTTATTGTTGTTGTTTTACAACAGGAAATAAAGGGGTGGAGGAAGACCCCTTTAGAAGTGTCCATTTTAGAAGGTGCTAGGTATAAGTCTCTGGGAATTTCTGGTTGGGTCCCCAGCAAGCAGCTAAATTGACAGGTTGAGAACTTAGAAGGGATTCTGATCAAGATTTAGTTCTGCACAACAGCTTACTTGAGGCGGTTGCTGGGTGTTTCATTGCAATATTTTATTTAATAATAGCTACAGTTCTGAATGGCTGTAGGGTCTGTAAAAAACACTGAAGCCACGTGTCTTAGTTCTTTGCATTTAACATGTTTTTATATCAAAAGAGAAACAAAATACATTGGTTTTAAATTCTTGCTACGTATTATCAATAACCAGGAATATGATAATTATAATTTTATATTTTAAAGCAAACCTACCAAAAATGTAACCTGAAATAGATTACAGAGCAGCTTAATTCCTGTGATTGCGACATAGATTTGAGCACAGGAAAGCTCTAACTGTATCTGTTTTCAATTGTCTCTCTCTAACTGGGGAATTCTTAAAAAAACAAATGGTTGAATGTTTACCTTAACGTGGTCCACGGTTGAGTAATAAGCCCATGGGATGCAAGGTGTGTCCTCTCTTCCAGCGCCTGACCTTTCTGGGATTTGCCATATATAAGTGCGAATTTCACCTAAATTAGCCAAGAGTTACATGCCTGGTTATATTCCGTTTGTATCTGACACACATGATGCGTTTTACATGCATATGCATTTTTAGACACATACAATGTGCATATATTTAGCATATGCATATATTAAGCCTTGATAACCAGTGATCAAGAAAGTAAGAATGTCAAGATAGCTACTCAAAAAATAATAGTATTCCAAATTATTTCAAGAATTTAGTTTTTAAATATTATGGTGAGTATATGTGCAGGTGAGGGTGTGTGTGTGTGTGTGTGTGTGTGTGTGTGTGTGTGTGTGTGTGCACGCTTGCCACAGCACGTGTGAAAGTTGGGATAGTAGGTGGGAATTCTCTCTTTCAACCATATGGGTTCTAAAGATGCAACTTTAGATGTTCTCAGGCATGGCAGAAAGCACCTTTACCTACCGAACCACCTTGATGGCCTGGGAGTTTAGTTCTAAGGCATTTTTAGGTCTTTGTATGTCCTTGAATTAATCAGTTCTCATTCACTTGCCGTACCACAAAGCCAGAGGGCGGTCATTCTAATGTCATAGACTGAAGAAACTGCATGGATCCATCTCTTCTTACTTAATATCTTTTTTCTGTAGATACCATTAGGTTGCCCTCTGCCCCAGCACCTTGCCCACGGTGTATCCGTGTGATTACGCTCTGTAGAGTCATCTTTACCTTCCTTTACTTTCCTGCTTCCTTTTCACCATCATCCTCAGTGAGCTGACGATTCCTCAGAAAAAGCCATGAAACCACTTGATCTTAAAGGTCACGGACTTCTAATTCTGTCTCCTTCTGTTATCATCTGATTCTATCATACCATGTACTTCTTTGTCACTGTTTCGTCACATCCAAGACATATATTAGTCCTTGATGCTTTGAAGACAGACATTTACCCTGTCCTCTTACTTTGTCATGTACCCTTTTCCCACATACTCCTGGCTTTTCTCCAGTCTGACCTTTTCCAGTTGCCACAGAGCTTCCTGTATATCTGTCCAAGAACCTTGACTGGCAGCTTTGCCAGCTCACCTGTCCTGACTCCCCTCTGTGTACATAGACTTTGCCACTTCCTGTAAACATATAACTGTCAGATTAACACTGTAGAGTCTGAAATCCTTTACTAGGGAAATGAGCAAGAGCTGAGGTCTGGAATTAAGGGTTTTCCGCCTTTCCTCAAACTATCACTTTCAGTCCCAGTTTCCTCATCCCTTGTCTGGGCAGAAAATTTCACCAAGAATATAAAATGTAAATGTTAAACACAAAATGTAAAAGTGAGACCTCACCATCTGACTTCTGCTGAGCACTCTTATTTCTATAAATTGTTCTTCCAGCCTGCTCTGTCACGAGGGATTGATTCCCAAAGCCTTAGAGTCACCCTTGACACCTCCTTCCATAAGACTCAAGTGCCCAATTTCCAGCAGACTCTTTTGGTATTCCTTTAAAGTAGAATTGCAGCATCACAACATCTTATCCCTTCATCTGGTTCAGCCAAATGTTGTTAATTCTAAGTTTCATTTTTTTTCCCCACCGAGTTTAGTGCAGGGTTTCCCTAATTGACCCTTAACGTTTCCATTTTGCCCCTATAGTCAATTACTCATAAGTCAACCAGAAAAGCCTTTTAAAAATCCTTAACCAGATAAATCCCCTTTAACTCAAATCTTCAGGTGAGTGTTTAGTATAAAACCCTTGAGGCCTGGACTTCCAAGATGGCGGCAGCCAGAGTGCACTGTTTCTGATGACCAGATGACCAGAGACTGTGGTTACGGTGAATAACCCAAAACACTGGACATCGGTGTTTCCCCAATGGGAGGGGACATCCTGGGAGCTGGGGACCGTAATTCCAGGCACCCCACAGCGGTCTCCCAGGTCAAGGAGTCACACAAGATCCCGTGGTGCCCAGTGCAGATCTGCCTATACGGAGCAAGAGTCCCCAGTCCCAGAGATGCCCCGCTGCGCCAACCAAACCTCAGGTTTTTCCACCTCCATGAGGGCAGTGCCTGCATACGAGGTCCAGGAGCCGTGCAGAGTCCCAGACTCACGGCGCCCGAGACGGTCTGCCTTTATGAACATGAGTCCCCAGTTTCAGGGGTACTCTGTGTCAGCAGTCAGACTTGAATCCCCCCCCTTCCAAGGGCAGCTCCTAGATAGCTGGGGTCAGCATCCCAACCAATCCATGGCCCTACTGTTCCCCCTGTGAGACCAGCTGGACGATATGAACATACAGGGCGTGAGGACAAGATGGTGGAGCCCAGCCAAATATGAGTGCTGGGAGCACAGCTCCTGCTTGGCCTCCAAACGACTGTACAGCGAAATCCGATTCCTTAAAGCCAGGGACGGTTCACTGTCCAGATGACTTCGCAATGCCAAAACCTGCTCACCATCTCCCTGAACCTTCCGTTCCCATCTAGGACACAGCCAGCAGAGGGGTGAGCCGTAGGAGGGACTCATCCCCCGTTGACCACCATGCCAAGGAGACCAGTGGTGCCCCCCTCCCCCACTCCTTCATCTTTTTTTTTAATTTTATTTTTTCTTATCAGTTACATTTTATTAACTCTGTATCCCAGCCGTATCCCACTCCCTCATTCCCTCCCTCATCTCCACCGTGCCCCTTTCCAGGTCCACTGATGGGGGGGAACCTCCTCCCCATTCATCCGATCCTGTTTTATCAGGTATCTTCAGGACTGGCTGCAAAGCCTAACAGGACTGCTCCTCCCTTGGGGGGTGGGGAGGTCAAAGAGCCAGTCATTGAGTTCCTGTTAGAAATAGTCCTTGTTCCCCTCACTATGGGAATCCAATTGGTTACTGAGCTACCACAGGCTACATCTGAGCAGAGGTTCTAGGTTATATCCATACATGGTCCCTGGTTGAATGTCAGTCTCAGAAAAGACCCTGTGTCCAGATATATTTGGTCCTTGTGGCCACTCCTTCATCTTAGAGCCCTTTCCCTGCTGACTCTGGACCTGCCTGTCTCACCTGGGACAAAGCCAGCAGAGGTGAAGAGTCCTCTGAACCACATCTGCCAACCCAAGGCTGCCTGTGCAGCCCAAGCAACATTCACCTTAGAGTCCTCTCCACCCCCTCCCGTACCACCTAGACATCAGAAATCACCAGGCCTGCTTTCACCAGAGACACTAGACAGATGGCTAGAGGTCAGCATAAGCACACAAGCAACAAAACCCAGGACCAAATGTCACCACTTGAAACCAGCTGTCCTACCACAGCAAGCCCAGGAGATAATAACACACCTGAAGCATAAGAAAAATGATCTTAAATCTGAGATTATGAAAATAATAGAGGCCTTAAAGGAGGAAAATAAAGAACTACAGGAAAATACATCCAAACAAATGAAGGAATTGAATAAATCCTTTAAAGATTTACAGGAAAATGGAGTAAAAAAATAGAGAAAGCTGTTCAAGACCTAAAAATGGAATTAGAAGTAATAAAGAAAGCAATCAGAGGCAATCCTGCAGGTGGAAAACCTAGGAAAGAAAACAGAAACAGAGACAAAGCATCACCAACAAAAATACAAGAGATGGAAGAGAGAATCTCAAGTGTAGAAGATAGGGTTGAAGTAATCGATACATCAGTTGAAGAAAATGTTAAAACTAAAAAGTCCCTGCCACAAAACAACCAGGAAATCTGGGACACTGTGAAAAGACCAAACCTAAGAATAATGGGAATGAAAGAAGGCGGAAGCCTTCCAGCTCCAAGGCCCAGAAAATATTTTCAACAAAATCATAGAAGAAAACCTCCCTGACCTAAAGAAAGAGAATGCTGTAAACATACAAGAAGCTTACATAACTCCAAATAGATTGGCCCAGAAAATAAAATCCTCCCACACATAATAATAAAAACACTGAATCTAAAGAGCAAAGAAAGATTATAAGCTGCAAGAAAAAAAGGACCAAATCATATACAAAGGCAAACCTATCAGAATTACACCTGACTTCTCAACAGAGACTATGAAAGCCAGAAGGGCTTGGACAGACTACTATACCCAGACTACTATACCCAGCAAAACTTTCAATCACCATAGATGGAGAAAACAAGATATTCCATGACAAAACCAAGTTTAAGCAGTACCAAGCCACAAATCCAGACCTACAGAAAATACTAGAAGGAAAACTCCAACCCAAGGAGGCTAACTACACCCACAAAAACACAGGAAATAAATAACCCACATCCCCAAAACCAAAAGAAAGAAAACACACACATTCTACTATCACCAACTTCAAAATAACAGGAATTAACAGTCATTGGTCATTATATATCTTAACATAAATGGCCTCAAATCCCCAATAAAAAGATACAGGCTAACAGAATGAATGTGAAAACAGGACCCATCCTGCTGCATACAACAAACACCTGAGCAATAAAGATAGCCATTACCTCAGAGTAAAGGGCTAGGAGAAGGTATTCCAAATAAATGGACCCAAGAAGCAAGCTGAAGTAGCCATTCATATCTAATAAAATAGAGTTTCAACCAAAACTAATCAGAAGACATGGGGAAGGGCATTTCATGACCATTAAAGGAAAAAATCCACCAAGATGACAGCTATTTCAATTCTGAACATCTATGTCTTAAATGCAAGCGCATCCACATTTTTAAAAGAAACTAAAGCTTAAATCACACATCGAACCCCACACATAAATAGTGGAAGACTCCAACACCCCACTCTCACCAATGGATAGATCATTGAGACAGAAGCTAAATAGAGAAATAATGAAACCAATAGAGGCCATGAATCAAATGGACCTAACATACCTACGGAACAATTCACCCAAACACAAAACAATATAGTACATTCTTCTCAGCATCTCCCAGAACCTTCTCCAAAATTGACCATGTATATGGTCACAAAGCAAGCCTCAACAGATACTAGAAGACTGAAATAACCCATGCTTCTTATCAGACCACCATGGATTAAAGTTGGAACTCAACATTAACAGAAACAACAAAAAGCCTACAAGCTCATGGAAATAGAACAACTCCCTACTCAATTACCACTGGGTCAGGGATGAAATCAAGAAAGAAATTAAAGACTTTCTAGAATTCAATGAAAATGAAGGCACAGCATACCCAAACTTATGGGACACAATGAAAGCAGTGCTAAAAGGAAAGTTCATATCACTAAGTGACTTCATAAAGAAATTGGAGAGATCCCATGCTAGCAACTTAACAGCACACCTGAAAGCTCTAGAACAAAAAGAAGCAGACATATCGAGGAGTAGACATGGGGCTGGAGGACAAAAGGCCTATAGCGAAAGGAGAACCTGGGTGAGGGCATCTCTGACAAGCTTGAGACCTAAATCAGGGTGGGCTTCTTGGGGGGATATGAGAGGGACTCTAGCAGAGACTTCTAGTATTAGGAGCCATAGAGACTGAAGAGGACGCCCTCTAACTAGACTAGTCTCCTAGCAGAGGGAGGAGATCACCAACCCACCCACAAAAACTGACTCAAAATTCATCCTGCCTACAAGATGTGCTGGGATAAAGATAGAACAGGTATAGCAGAGACTCAGGGAAGGTCCAACCAATGCCTGGCCCAACCCAAGACCTACCTTGTGGGAGAGAACCAACTCCTGACACTATTAACAATACTCTGCTATGTTTGCAGAAAGGAGTGAAGCAGTGTTGTCCTCTGAGAGGATCCACCTAACAGTGCCTGGAAACAGATGCTAAGGCTCATAGCCAAACATTGGGTGAGGTATAGGGAGCCTTGTGGAAAAGTGGGAGGAAAGAGAAAAGGACCTGGAGATGACAGAAGCTCCACAAGAAGATCAACAGAGACAATCAGGGCCCAGAGGGGTTTCCTGAGACTGAATTATCAACCAAGAACCATGCATGAACTGGACCTAGGCCCCCTACAAAAAAGTAACAGATGGGCAGCTCAGGCCTCATGTGGGTGCCCTAGTAAGGGGAGCAGGGTCTTTTTCTGACATGGATTTTCTTGCCAGCTTTTTAATTACTTCCCCGTGGAGGGACTGCCTTGTTAGGCCACAGGGCAAGGGGACACACTCAGCCCTGTTATGACTCAAGGAGCTAGAACAGATGGGAAAGGGAGCTCCCCTTCTCAAAGGAATTGGGGAGGGAGATGGGAGAAAGGGAGGGAGGGTGGGACTGGGAGGTGAGGAAGGATGGGGATATTACCAGGATATAAAGTAAATAATAAACAAACAAACAAACACCCTTGAGTTCTAATCATAGACCCCTACCTGGTTCTCTGTTCTTTTCATCCATTCCCAAGGTTCCTACTCTATTCCTTCTTTCCCTGTTTCCCATCTGCTAACACTCTGTTCCCCACTTCACTCTGCTCTTATCCCTGTCCTCTTTACTATTTCTAAGAGACACAAAACATGTTTCCACGTTGAGGCCTAGAATATTATATCACAATTGCCTGAGCTGCGTCTCCTTTATCATTTAAATGTGTTCACCCATGTCCAGCCCTGTGACTGTGCTACCTAAAATACAACATCATTATGATGCTCTCATGGGTCTTTTTCATAGCCTTGTTTACAACTCAATATTGTCTGCTTTTATCTCTTTTAGAAAAGCAAGAGAGAAGTTCTTGCTTTATCTTCCCTTAAATTTATAAAAGTAATTCTACAGGGCACTCTCTTTTTTGCTTTAGTATGTTTGGGAACTGATAAGGGTGGGGTTTTTTTTATTATTTTATTTATTTTTGTTTTCTGTGTTTTTGTTTTGTTTCATTTTGTTTTGTTTTTGAGACAGGGTTTCTCTGTGTGGTCTATTCTGTTCTGGACTCATTTTGTAGACCAGGTTGGCCTTGAACTCACAGAGACCCACCTGCCTGTGGCTCCCAGAGTGCCAGGATTACAGGTGTGCACCACCACGCCCAGCTCTGATAAGTTTTTAAAACAAACCCTTCCCTGTAAAACAATTTTGTTTTTTATTTCAGTGTGTATAATATATCTTCATTTTTCTCTTAATTAAACATCTCTTGAGCTCCTGGGACATGCCTGCTACTGAAGCAAACACTCAGGCTTTAAAATTCCAAACCACAGACATTGTTAGAGAGGCTGGTGCATGACTGGTCTACCTCACAGAACAACAGATGCCACCTCAGATCAGTTCAGGGGGCATCTCTCTGGCTCATTCTTCCATGTTTGTGAGTCTTTGATACCTCCATGTTTGTTTTTCAGCCCTCCTGCAAATTGTTTTGGTGTAAACATGTGTTTGTACTCAAGAACCCACACAGAGCTGTTCCCGGCATCTTTTGTCTCCGCCTTCCTTTGCATTCCCCGGCAACAAACTCATTTGGAAGGACTTATTCTTTACAGCAGCTAGCACTGGTGGAGTTTCTATAAAATCTGTGCAACACATCCCTCTGCCCCCAGTACCTGGCAGTGTTGGAACAACTGTAGAACTCTCTGTTCTCACCCCGTGAGCATGTATGGAATACGGCCTGGATGCCATGTTTTTAAAGACAATTTTAACTCTGTCTCCAACATCTGCATGAATTTTTGGACCTGGTAGAAGTGAAAAGGAAGAGCGGCTTAGTATGTTGGAATTTCCATCAGTGATAAAGGCAAAAATCAGGTAACTTTTCAGTGTAAAGGATGGAAGCTCCTTGTTCTTTATAATTTTTTTTTTAATATTAATCACAAAGCTCCTTTTTTTGTCCATGGATTTATGCTGTTACAGTCTATGATTTATTTCGGGTCCCAGAGGACTGCATAAAAACACAAGAGAAAGTTTCTCTGAATCTGGAGACCATAGTGTAACTCTCATCCAATGTTCTGGGGGAAGCTGTAGCCTAACAAAGCCCTGAGGGTCAGAGTCTAACAGGGACAGCTAGTGGCAGGCCAGGAGCTGCTTTGCACAGCTTACTCTTAGGGCTCAGTGTTAGAACTTCCAGCCTCTACCGAGCATGAAATTAGCAAAGGGTTGCGCTGGCGAGGATGAAGCTGGCCCTCCAGTTTCTGTTCTCCAGACAACTATAGCTGTTTCCTGTGCTTTTCCTGTTACCCTCAAAAGCGCCATTAGCACTAAAGCAGCCATTCTCAACCTGGGGATTGAACAACCTTATCCCAGTGGTTGCCTAAGATCATCAGAAAACAGATACTTTACAGTACGATCTGTAACAGTGGCAAAATTACATTTATGAAGTAGCAAAGAAATTAATTTATGGATGGGGTCACCAAAAGAGAGTCATAGCATTGGGAAGGTCGAGAACCACTGATCTAGAGTATCTCACAAGGGGAAGTCTGATCCCATGGAACCCAGGAAAGGTTCAAAAATTGAGCACCTCACCTCATAGGTTTCAGGTTATATACTCTGTCTTAATGTGGCTCCTGATAACCCGAAGCCAACTTTCCCCTGATTCTGTATTAGGAAATACATTTTATCATCCCCACATATATCTTTTTCTTGTAACTGATTACATCTTAATTTTTCAAGTAAATAGAAGTGGGTTTTTTTTTTGGGGGGGGAAGGGTGAAATAAAAAGGAGAAATTGGGTAAGCTATTTATTCAGAGGTATTTTCTAGAAACTTCACCAAAACTATCGGCATCAAATAGAAGTAATTTTATCAGTTTTTGGAATAACACATTATTCCTGGTGGAAATAAGTGATAGTATCTGTATTATTCAGCAAACACAAATTTCTGGGGTTTTTTGTTGAATGATTTTTGTTGTTGTTGTTGTTTGAATGGCTTTGCAGTAAGAACTAGGGAGACCATCTACATGGATGCCAGCTGCTGCAGGCAGCTCTTGTCACTAATACGAGGCCACCACGATGGGGCTGGTCACCTTACCAAGGATGCCCAGATGCTCATCCTCAGCTTTTCTCTTCACCTGTTCTCTGAATGTGCCGTCGGTAAATTGCCGATACAAAACTTTCTTGTACTTTGAGCCTATGTAAAACTCTTCCTTGTCCAAAAATACATTTGATACACTAGAAAAGGAAAGTCAGTGCAGGTTAGTATTTGTTTTCATGAAAGAAAAGGAATTAAGTTTTAATTATTGATTAAAAATTTTTGTGAATAGTTATGCTCATTTAAACTTATTTTTCATCCCAGTCAGAGAGAGAAAAAAAACTTTAAAAATGGGGAGATGTCCAAAATACCTGGGCGCAGGGGCCCCTGCAGAGACCGATACTCCAACCTAAGGACCTTGCATGGAGAGGACCTAGACCCCCTGTTCAAAGGAAGCCCATTGGCTGCTCAGTTTCCAGATGGGTTTCCTAGTAAGGGGTACAGGGGCCATCTCTGACATGAACTCAGTGGCTAGCTCTTTGATCCCCCCCCCCCGGGGGGGGGTGCAGCCTTGCCAGGCCACAGAGGAAGATGATGAAGTCAGCCTTGATAAGACCTGATAAGCTAGCATCAGAGAGAAGGGGAGGACCTCCTATCAGGGGACTAGGAAAGGGCACAGAGAGAGAAGAGAGAGGGTGGGTGGGACTGGGAGGAGACAAGGGAAGGGGTTGCAGTGGGGATACAAAGTGAATAAATTGTAATAAATAAATATATAGATAAAATAAAATTTTAAAAAAGGGACATGTGATATAAAGAGAGCTGTCCAGTGATCTGCTCCTGTCCTGGCCCTGACTCTTGCCATCTGGAGAAGGAGCCTTAGTTCTTATGCCCCTAAAGACAGGCATTGATCAAATCATCTTATCACAATTTCACACTCTAAAGTGTTGAGTCCAAGTTCAAACAATTTGGAGTTAATGCAATAGTTTCAGTCAGTAGAAACTGAAATGGCGCATTTTTTCCTAGTTATTCCTTTTTTCTAAAGTTTTAGTTGACTAATGGTTCTTTTTAATCACTTTATGCAAATCACAGAAACAACCTTTCAGTCCTTTCTATCTCAAACCACATGTATCACTGACATCAAACTATCGAGCTAGCTTCTGTCCGCCAGGTCATTAGGTCCACTGGGCATCCTGGGCCTACCTGTCCCACTGGTTAGCCTAACTCCTCAGATCATGTGCATATGAGGTCACAGGATGAAAATGACATGATCGAGCAGACATGCCTGGGAAAAAAAATGGGGCCACCCTAGAAGTGTCAGCTGATGACACATGATTCTGAGATGGATGGTTCTGATGCTCCTGAGGCTGATGTTCTTTACTGGGATTTATTCTTACTGATTTTTTTTTTTTTTTTTACTTTTTTTTACAGTGTTTGTGTCATTAGTGGCTCTGAACATATTTTTGTTAAGGCCTTAGAGGAAAAAACTTCTGAGCGTTTAAAAAGTATACAGCAGATTTAGGAATATGGAATGCCTGATTGTTATGCTGGAAATGAAATCAGGGGGAAGAAATAAGCAATACTGTGGCTGCTCTCATTTGGGTTGAGTTTGACCGTGAGTTTGTCCGTCAGAAAAGCAGGGATGCAGAGTCAGAATAGGTCAAGGGATGGTGTCCTAGGAGGATGCCAAGAGAAGCAGAAATGAGTGAGCACAGATTCCCAGGAAGTGCTCATTGCTATTGCTTAATGCTGCTGTCGCTTTTTCCTAAGGGTTAGCACAAATCTTTAAGGAAAGGGAGTCTCAAAGTTACGGCTGAATCCTTTGGGAATCTAAGGTTGGAAAGTTACTTTTGCTCTTGTAAACGATGCAGCTCCTTTTCCCAGACCCTGCTTGGTGAATAGTCCCATTCCGCCTCCACTGCCGCAATATAGTAGGTCCTTTCTGCCAGGTAGACTGTGGGGTCCTCAGACTGACGCCCACACTGGTTCACGGTGTATCTTTGCTTCATGCCACCTGTGTAGTGATCTGTTGTAAGACACTCTACATCAAAGGTCCCTGCAGTGGTAAAATAGAAAACTAGTTACATTTTGATCAGTATTTTTATCCCCCAGACTTACTGAGCATCAGTTACTATCTCAGCTCATCAGGCTTCCCACGGTTCTGATCCTCACATCACCCACTGCTTGCTCTTCTCCAAACACAGAAGTCTCTTTACTTTTCTCAGTACCAGCAAAGGGTGTATCTGTCTCAGGACATCTGTTATTCTCCCTGCTTGGAACTTCACAGATGCGGGATGCGGGATGCGGGACATTCGATCACTCTGAATGAAACCCAAGATTGTCTTGTTTTCCGGAAAGTCCTGTTTCTAGTTGTGTGCCTCGGACATAGTACACACCTTTAATCCAAGAACTTTCTGCTTGAATATTGTAAATAAGATTAGATAAAATCAACCGTAGGTTAAGAGGTAGAGCAAGTAACCAGCTAACAACAGGAGTGAACACAGGGAAAGAAAAAAACCATAGAGGGTGAGAGGAAGTCAGGAGAATGGATGGAGAGATGCACAGGAAGTAGAAGAGAGGGACATTCGGTTTGAGGAGTTTTTGACATGACAGGGGAAAGGAACATGGCTGAGGAGGAAGGTCAGCTGGGTGCTTTCTCTGCCATTCTGAGCTAGCAGGCTTTCATGTCAGCAGCTGGCTAGTGAGTCTTTATTGGTAAATTGAATGACATTAAAAAAAATTACAGATGTGTGTATAGCTCATGCTCTTACATATTCTTTTTCTTTTTTGTTTTGTTTTGTTTTGTTTTTTCGAGACAGGGTTTCTCTGTGTAGCCCCGGCTGTCCTGGACCGCTTTGTAAATCAGGCTGGCCTCAGACTCACAGAGATCTGCCTGCCTCTGCCTCACAGAGTGCTGGGATTGCAGGTGTGCAGCACCACAGCCAGCTACGCTCTTAATTCTCATATCTCTTAAGAGTGCATCTCGGAAGAGTATCTCTCACTATTATCTATCACCCTCTTCTCTTTTATTTTTATTCATGGGCTTAAAATTGCCTGATCTTGAGTAGCCCAGTGAGTCACAAGTGATTATATTTTCATGATCTGATTAATATTCTTTCCTCTTTGTTTTAATTTAATTTAATCCTTGAGAACCAGGCTTACAGATGTGTCTAAATGCGCTTGGCTACAGTTCTAATATAGAATACCCAACTGCAAGCAGTCAGCAAGCCACCCCCATATCAAAGCTGTAGAGACAAGAGGAAAGCCTGCGCGCAGGAGTCATTTCTTCTAGTCTGCTTTTTCGCAGTTATCTTTAACTGAAAAGGGCCCATCTCAGAGATTCTGCCGTTTGAAACAAGGAACACACACACTCCACCCACAAATAGGAAAGAAGTTCACCTGATGAGTATTTCAACAACAGTGGCCCAGTAACTCTTTTAAGAGAAGCTCTATTTGGGAAGGTTTGAATGTTTATCACCCAATATACAGTTTTCAACCAAAACTGCATAAATTTACTGTCCTAGCTAGTTTTATTTCAATTCAACAAAAGCTAATGTCATTTGAGAGGAGGGAAACTCAGATGAGAAAACGCCTCTATAGGATACAGCCGTAGGGTATTTTCTTACTTAGTGATTGACTGGGGAGAAGTCAGCCCATTGTGGGCGGTTCCGTTCCTGGGCTGGTGGTCCTGGGTTCTGTTAGAAAGCACACTGGACCAGCCAAGAAGAGGAAACCAGTAAGCAGCTCCTCTCCGAGTCCCCTGTATCAATTCCTATCCTTCTTGAGTTCCTCTCCCTACTTCCTTTAATGATGAACAGTTACGTAGAAGCTTGAGCATCAAATAAACCCTTCCCTCCCCCATTTCTTTGGTCATGATATTTTATCCCAGCACTAGTAACCCAATTAAGGCATTGACCAATAAGAGAAGCGCACCTGTCACGTCGGGCTTCATGAGAAGGGTGAGACTTGCATGGGGGAATAGGTTTGCAGTGTCTCGTCTCTCTCCTTTGGACAAGTAAGTGTTTCCTGAGAAGTATATCCCGTGTATGTCAGCCTCATTCCCAGCACTGAACAAATACCACACAATGGACTCTCCCAGACACATATTGAGGCCAGGCTGATTCCCGTACATGAATCCATTCACGGCTGCAAAAGTTGAAGAAGGGAAAGAGGGAAAGGTTTAAAGATAACATTCCATTAGATGGAAACCTCCTTCCTGACTTCCTAATGTAAGGATACACACAAGCCTGCCTGTTGTTTCTGTGTCAGACATGTTTCTTCTCTCCCTAGAGCAGCCCCAGCTGCAGGGAGCAGATCTGAGTTCACAGAGCGTGAGCTTCGGTGTCCCCGCCACTCTGGGGATTTCAGGGGTTTAGCTGGAGTGAAATTCCAGGCTGTGTTTCTTCTTTCAAAGGTCATGTTTGTGAACACTACATCTGGGAATAGTAACAGCTCACCCTCGGTATGTCACACACTGGCAATGTATCTGTTGTTTTACCTGAAAAAAGAATTTTCCCTGATTCATCTTGGAAAGCTGCGAAAATCCTGTGTAGGAAAATTTCTCTCACTGCTGTTTCCAAAGTGCAAAAAAATGTAATATTGTATTAAAGTAATATTGTAAAGATTTTGGGTGGTGTGACTAAAATTATTCCAGCTTTAAAAGAAAAAAAGCAATCTGTACTTCAACTTCACAAATTCTGCTTCCTCCCATTACAGTAATGTTTACTGTTATCTCTGAATGGTGTGGGTCTTTGGAACAATTAGCTCACCATCTCTAAACACGAACTACATTTAAATTAGCTAAAGCATAATAAAACTGATGCTCGTCTTCATTTAAATAAAATTGCTGCAAGCTTCCTTGGGTCTTAGGAATTTTAAAACTTGTCAGTTAATTCTGATAAGCAATCAAGTATGAAAGTCATGATGGCAGAGTTCATATTTTTGGATCATTGAAAAATAAAAGGAGCCTGTCATTACGAATGAGGAAAGCACCTAACTCATTATTTTCAAACTGAGCATGCCATCAGAATCAGTTAAAGGATTTGTTAAGTACAGATTCCTGGGAATTATTCCAACATTTATAATTCAGTAACTCAAAAGTGGGTCCAAGAATTTGCAATTCTAACACGCTCTTGGGATAAAACATGCTGCTGATCTAGGGACCACACTCTAAATACACAATCAGAGGCCAGCAAAATAGCTCAACAGATAAAGCCACTTGATGGGAAGCCCACCCTTCTCAGGTGATCCCCAAAACCCAAATGCTGGGAAGAGAAAACTGACTTGTGCACATTGTCCTATGACCTCCACGGCACCATGGCACATGCTAGTTCCCTCTGTGTCCCTTCTCTCTCCTTCCTTTCCTCCCCTGTCCCTGCTCCCCTCTAAATAAATAAATGTTTTTTTTTTTCTTTTTAAAGACACATTGAATATCTGTGACTTCAAGGCCATCTTGGCCTACAGAGCTAGCTCTGGGACAGCCAAGGCTACATAAATGAAACTCTGTCTCAATCAATCAATAATACGTGAATGAGTGAATGACACATTCTGCTATATTTGGTTATTCTAAAGTGATGTTTATTTTGATATTTGTTTGTTTTATAGCCAAAGATATTGCCTTCAGAGCACTAGTAAGTATTTATTGAAAAGCAATGAAAGTAGCTGCTCAGTTTAGGTTTAACAGATACCTATGCCACCCTGAAGCAGCCTGGGCCCGTGGAAGAGATACAGTACTCACAGTGCATCTTATTAGACTCCTGAAAGTCTTCATCTTCCTTATCTACACGATCAGGTGCAGTCGTGAACATCCTGATATTATCGTTCAGGAGTAAACTCTCATTCTCGTCGAACACCATGGGAAACAAGTAGAACTCCTTGTCTACATCTTTCTGCAAATCAAAATAACAAGGAGGTGAAGACAGAATGGGAAAGATTTCTATGTGCAATGCTCTGTACAAACCATTTTGGGGAATGTGAACAGAAGTTTCAACTCCCCTTTAAAACCTGGCCCATGACATAGTCCCCTTGGCCACCCAAGATTTCACTGGTGTCTCTTGAGGATTTGTGGTTTACTAAAGTAACTTGAACCTCTTACATCTAAAACTTCAAGTTTCCTTTTTCCTTCATGCTCACATTGCCCATACAAATTGAAACCACTAAAAATAAAGGTTATTCAAAACAGGTGTTATAGTTTAGATTTGAAATGTCCCAAAAGCCATCTGTTAAAGGATTGGTTCCTAGATAATGGCATTAATGGGTGGAAACTTTAGATTCAGCCCAGTTGCTTGGAATAACCCTGCTGTTTGAGGTTGCAGTCCTCCCGACTCTTGCTCTCTGCCTGAATTCATCTGGAGAGTGTCTTGAGACACTGACACCCCTAACCACATTGATATGCCACCTCTGACACAGCTCCCTGCTAGCTCTCCCCTCCCAATGCCTATATAATTAGGTGCTGTGTTTCCATTCATAGGATAGAAGCATGTTGTTTAATGCAAATCAAGCCATCCTTGAAGTACCTAGTTTCAACCAGTTATGTACATCTATCCTTGAAGCCACATGCACACTCAACAAGGGATATATAACCTTTGTTTTCTGGAATTAAAACTGAACCAGCTCCCTGCAGTGGCTCCCAGGCTATGTGATTCCTGTACAGTGCTCCACAGCCATTCCAGGAGCACTCCCCATCTCATGCCCTCCTGACTTCATGTGCTGCTAGGGAAACAGCCCCTAGGCAGGAGGAGAACCAACACCAGTTGAAGGGACAAGGTCACTTGAATTGTACCCTTGAATGTCATAGCTATATCCCTCTATCTCACTCTCTCTCCTCCTCCTCTCTCACTTATCCTCCCTCCCCCATCTGCCCCTCTTTCTCTCTGTCTTGAACAAACCTTGGCTATTTATCATAAGGATGAAAAGCTTTTTTCTACCATATGCACATATGTTTCACTACAGCCGAAATGGAATGGAACTAGCTGACTGTGACTAAACCTTCTAAAACCAAGAGCCAAAACAGACACCTCGCCTCTAAGTTATTTGTCTTGGGTACTTTGTTACAGTGATAAAAATTAAAAACTACTGTGGGAATATCTGTATGCTGGAATTGGGAAAGATGCCTTTTGCTTTCAAGAACCCAGTAAGAATCCCTATAATCTACAAATCATCTTCAGTGAGGAAATGCCAAAGAGCCAGAAGAAGGCTATACAATCTTCAGGCAGATTAAAACAAAAATAAAGAACTAGAAATACTCTGCAGTTTAGAAAATGGCCCAGTTATTCAGAAGACAATCAGTCCATGGAACCAAAGCAAATGAGCCCTCAGGGAAGAGAATACTGAAGTCCTGTTTGCCTTTCTCTTATGGTTCATTCAAGTGAACAACATGATATCAAGGTGAAAAAGACCAACTAAGGTGCAGACGTGAGGGTTAGATCTTTCAGAAAACTGTATCAGTGATGGAGGTTGTCTAGGGTGAGTTTCTTGGTGATCTGATACTTTTAAGTCACTTATGCTCCTGTAAGTAACGCAGTAAAGCCACAGGTTCACTGAGCTAGACTTAGGTAGCATCACTTCTTTAGTCTATCCATGGCCTCCCCCGGGGTGAGGAGACACTTATTATCATCTCCAGAGGAAAGCTCTTACCACTGGTCTCAAATGTGGTTCCCCGGCCCCCACCCCCATTTTTCAAGATATGGTTTCTCTGTATAGCCATGGCTGTTCTGGTACTTGGATCTGTAGACCAGACAGGCCTTGAACTCACAGAGATCTACCTGTCTCTGCTCCTCTAAGGGCTGGGATTAAAGGTGAGTGCCACCACATCTCACTAAATGTGGTCCTTTTATCTCTCAAGCACTAGACCTTCAGGCATGTGTCTTCATGCCCAGCTTAGGAGGGCTTTATAATAAATATAATATTTATAATAAATCTTTATAATTTTGTTAGTTTGTTTGAAACAGGGTCTCGTGAAGCCCAGAATTGCCTCACACTCTAAGTAGCTGAAGATAGTCTTGAGCTTTTTTATTATTTTTTTGCCTCTACTTCCCAAATGCTGGTATGCAAGATCACATGACAGGACCCCTTATATCTTCAGAGGTACATCATAAAATACCTACTTCACAGATTAAAAAATCGATGGGATTATGATTGTGAGGTCATTTTTTTAATTACTAACTTTATAAAAAAAGGATTGCATTCTTGAGATATTTCTACCGGAAAAAAAAATGTAGAGTACTTTTTTTAATGTATGATCTTGCCATGAAGCCCAGAATGGTTTCACACTTTTGATCCTCCTGCCTTATCATACCCTAGTGTTGAGATTTCGAGTGCATATCTCTCACTATGCCCAACCATAACACAAATCCTATGAATCTGAGTAAAATTTGAAAAGAGACACAAATCTTCAGTGCCTAAAAGCCTAGAAATATTCTTACAGAACAGTTTAAAACATACTGGCAGTCATTTTCACTCTCCCCCACCTGGGCTTACCTGTCTCCCATTTTTGAGTAAGCTGCCTTTCTTGCATATTTTCATTGGCCCAATAAGCCCAGTGAATATATCTTTGGTGGGGTCTACGCCAGAATAATACATCTTAGATAGGCACACGGGATCTGCATAAGTGGGACCCACTCCTTTGGGGACAGTCCATTCATACGTAAAGGTTTCTTTGGGTGCCACATGGGAGGCTGCCTTAGGATGAGGCACACCTACAGGAATGATCACAACAGCAATGTTACATATGTGCTTTCTAATGTGACTGCCGAGCCACACAGTAGGCTAAGCTCCTCAGTCCCAATTAGAACAGAATCCCTTTTGCGCTGACAGACTGATGTGATAAACTCAGGAAGTAACCACCCCTGCCCAAAACGCCTCTCCAGGATTGCTCTTTCTCTTTGGGCTAGAGAGGGAATATGTGTAATTTTTTTCCAAATGCCATCACCTCTACCCTTCTATCAGTTAGAAAACTGCATTGCAGAAGGACGTAATCAGTTCATTTTCTGTTGACCAAAGTGAACAGAAAGTAATAGGAGAATGGAAAGGAATTTAACCTGTGATCCTTTGCAAATTACCCAAAATTTCACCTAAAATTGAACCCGCAAAGCTTCAATAACCTGTCTAGATATTGAAATTGGTTGCAAAATTATGGGATTTCATTGGTGATAAATAATATTTGATATATTTTAATAAACACTTTAATAAAAATACTTGAATATATCATATTGTATACTTTTATTACTAAAATCATATTAATAAATGCTTATAATGTTAAGAGAGCAAACATCACAAAACTATAATGCCAGTATATTTATATACTATAAACTCAGTCATATTTAAAGTATGTTATATATACAAATACGAAAGCAGAAGGATTACCCATACATACATATATGATTGTCTATAAAATTATAAATTACAAATAATTTTGGTTATAGCTTTCTGTATTTTTTAAAATATTCTAAAATGAGCCTCTAAATGTCTTAATATTGCACAAATTTTTTTAAAATCCACCCAGTAGTATTTCAGAAATGTATAATTGATACAGCCTAAGTAAAGTCTTATTAGGATTGTCAGTAGTTATCCAATTAAGAAAAATATTTTATAAACTAATTGGAAAGTATATAGGAAAGAAATTTATTTACTGTTTGCATCCTTTCTAGAAGTGACCTGGGGAGTATCCTGCCTTTAGCTCTCTCAGGACTGAATTCCCAACTCACCTCCCTTTGAGGAGTTGGCAGGTGGGACATGATATGTTCCATCATTTTCCACAGGGAATCTTACCCCCATTGGCTGGATACTGAGAGGATATGGTCCTTTGTTCTGAAAGGTAACCTTAATGATGTCTCCTACTTCTGCCCAAATGACAGGACCTAGGGGCAAAGAACATTAGTTACTGCTATTTGTCCTGTGACATACAGAACATGGCTGTGTCCTCTGACAGGTATCCCCAGGATCAAGAGGCAAATGTGTGGCAAGTTGGAAACCTTGGTGTTTTAAAAGTCCATTATTGCTACAATGAAGCAATTTGAAAAGGGGCAAGGATTTTTAAAAAATACAAATTGAGGGAGATTCATTTGATTATTATCTTTCTTTAAGTCAGCAAAATTTGCACATCATAAAACTAATTTATAGTGTTTACACACCTAATATAAAAATATCTGGAATATCTATACTTTCTTCAAACTAGTCTTCTGGGCTGTGTGGCCTTTGACCCCAGTGATGGTAAGTTTAAGGTACATTGTCTCGGGTGTGAAGAGTAACTGTGTTTTAGAACACAGAACCTTAAATTGCTGTTGTAAGCAATTTAGAGTAAAGATATAGCTACATGGTACAGAAACACTTAATGTAATATTCCATAATGACATTTATTGAGGGCATCTTATCCTTACCTCTGAAGTGTTCATGTCTAATATCTTACATACCCATTACTATAGTTTCACATACTAGTAAATACATTGTTTCCACTTTATAAAAAAGCAGGCATGTTCCCAAAAGTCACCTGGCTAGGTAGATAAAGAGAAAGATTGACCCTTGAGTTTAGATTGTGTTTACCAGTTAGGAGAGAACCGGGAGCAACCTCTGGGACAGAGCCAGCCTAGGTCATCACATCTGATTTCCGAGAAAGTGCACTTTGGCTAAGTCAGTTACTTAAACCAACTCACCCACTTTCCCTTATCTCTCTGAAGAGGTAAATAATCATTTGTGGTCATCATGATGTCATGAAAATTTATGGCTGGTAACTTCTTGGAAAAGTAACCAGCTGTTGTGTGTGAGGTGGTATCGATCTTCCTGGCTTCTGTCCAGAAATCAGACTGCAGGTCATGACATTTTTGTTCTTCCTGAGGCTGGGACAGGCAAGAAAAAAGTGTTCTAGACAGTCTGTTCTTCTTTGACTCACCCAGGATTCCAAGGTGTTCCTCATCAGGGCCTCTTTGTTTTCGCCTTGTGAAGGAGCCGTCTGTGTATTCACGGTAAACCAGTTTTTTATAAGACCCACCAATTCTTGTAGCGCCTTGTTCAAAAAACACACTTGAATCACTGCCAGAGGGAAAAGAGGGTGGATTCTGGTGTGGAGTCAGAACAGAGGTGACTGTTTACTTAGCGTCTTAACTTAAGAAAAGAATCTGGCTAGTGCTTAGCATCCGTAATTTATGGTCCACACTAATTTCACTGAACAGGCACACAGCCCTAGACCACACCAGACGTTTGGTGAAGGAGCAGAAAATCAAAGAGGAAGCTGCATTCTAAAGTGAAGTGAAAACAAATTTCAGTATGGTTATGCCACCCCTGTTCTGCCGTAGGATCTTTTCTCCCCATTGTACAGCACCTGTTCTTTGCTGGCCATGAGCATCAGCTTACTGCTCGCCTTGACTTGCTAGAAGTCACATGATGGTGCACTGAGGTTGCTAGGTTTTTGCCCATTTATGAACGAAAACGTTCGGTTTCAGAAAAGTGATCTGATTTTCAACAGGTCACCCTGTTTATGTCTTCTTTTGTTGGACGCATGGGTAAGCACCAGATTTTTGCCAGGACCCCTGCACTATGCTGCTGAGATGGTGACAAGCGAGGTGAATTCCTCATATACACGGACTACAGCTCTCCCAGAGGAGACCGAGCTCGGATAATACAAGCTGAAGAAGTAGTGTTGCGTTCACTTCTCCTGAGAAACGTGAGGAAAGGCTGCTCTGCAGAAGCTGTTAGAAAAGATTTTGGAAGACCCTAAGGTGAAAGAGTTACCAAGGTGATGTTCGGATGCTGGGGAGAATGGAGCAGAGGCTTACAGACAAGTGACAGTCTGTGGGAGGGCCAAAGGAGCAAGAATAAGCACGTTATCTGTATCCCAGGCTCCGCAGCAAGGGTTCTTAAGCCTTCCCACTTTAAGTTCCCTTTTGCCTGAGGAATTTTTATAGGATTCTGAGTGCAGAGATATATAAAATAGTTTTACAAATCAAATACTGTAGATAAGAAACCATAAATTTAAGACAAACTTTAAAATATGTTTACTCTTGCCATTTATTTAAAGTGAAATCTAATTTGCATACTAATGAGATAAATGTGCTTATTTGCCCTTACAAAAAGAATTAAGTGTCAGCTGCAATCTGACATTGCAGAACATGGCATCTTCAGCATTTTTCAGAACAGATTAATATTTCTGTCTACAATTGTTAGTATGGAAAGTATACAGTACAAATGGTACAAGTATGTTTAGGGTCTTCAGAAATTGTTGGAAATTCTGCTTTAATCCCAAACAGAAATGTATTTAAGCCATCATGTGTGTAGCGTGTGTGTGTGAAACTCAACTCAGCAACTCAAATGGCAATTTTTAAAAGCAAACATTGTAACAAACACAGTCCAAATATATAGCAGTTTGTACTTGCATGCTGGGTGACAGTGGGGAATAGGTGAGGTTTTGTTTGCCCTAAGTAAACTATGACATTTGTATAAGAAGAGAATACGTTGCATGAACAGTAAGAACATTGTATTTCATAACATGCAGGAGCCTTGAACCTGAGATGAGGTGTGTGAGGCAGTGGAGATGACACTGTGTGGCCTGGTGGCCTGCAGAGTGTGAAGTGTACGCGCTGGGCAGGTCCAACTGTGTGGCAGGACACAGGAATCTTTGTCCCAATCACCTTGGATTTACGACAGGTTTTGAAATAATTTTCCATTGCTGGGCCTCCGGGACACGTTTGCTGTTGATGAAATACTTGCGATACCCCCATTTATTTGTGCACTCCCGCGTTGGGTCCCACAGTTGAAGAAGCTGGGCCCAGAAGTCACAGCAGAAGCAGAGGATATAGGGTGGAAAAGTAAAGAATATGGCTTGGGGAGGGATAGAGGTGGGCGTGGGAACCTGGTTAATGTTTAGGTCCTCCATTCCATGGCAATAATGAAGGATTTAGCACCAGTATGAGTGTCTCAGGGGGATCCCTCCAATAGCTGTTTAGATAAAAAGTTAGGAAATAAAATACTATAAAATACTATATTGGAAGGCCAGTCAGGAAACAACTTTTATGATTTCAGTGAAAGATGGTAAGGAGTTTGGCAAAAAGGATAGAGGAGAGACCACACCTTTCAGAGAAATATAGAAACTCATGAGATAGTACCTGATGAGGAGTGTAGAAGGCCTTGGTGAAGGAAAGAGAGTCAGGACAGTGCTCGGGTTCTGGACCGTGGCACACAGGTGAATATGGTGAGGTCCGACGGTGAAGCCATTCACCGAGTGAAGAGGAAACTGGTTTTGCACTGGAGGCAGTGAATTCAGGTTGGACACACTGAGTTGGACCTCCCTCATCTAAGAGGAGGTGTCGTTAAGAAAATGGAAATACAAATCTGAGATTTGTAAGAGTCTTGTAGATTGGAGATGCAGCTTTGGGAGTATGTGGGTATCAGTATAGCCTGGGGCTTAAGTCTGTGCTTTTGGAGTCACAGACCTGGGCATAGCCAGGCCCAATAATGAGTAACACAAAATAAACATCTTAAACTTTCAAAAAGGAAAATGTTAAGATGGATCACAGACAGAAATTCTGGGAAATAGTATCACGTGGGTAGACACGGGTTAATGGCATAATCTTGCTGACATTTAAAAAATTTAATGCTGACTTAGTTTGTGTATGTGTGCTCATGTGTGCCGTGATGTTTGGACAACTTTCAAGAGTAAGTTGTCTCCTTCCACCGTGTGAGTCCTGGGGATGGAACTCAGATACTAGTCTCCGTGTGGGATTTCTCTTGAGAGCCTAGTTATTCAATGCATTGCAACTTTAAAGTTGCAATCTATTGCAACTTTAATTGAGTCAGCCTTCTATTTTGAAGGGGGTGGCTGTTTTGAAATGACAGGTTTGGCAGCAAGCTCCATTACTAATCACTGAGTCATCTCTATGGTGCCTGCTGACTTTTAAGCTGTCACCTTCTCTGCTCTGTGGAAAGTGACAGGTAGGAAAGGAAGAATGAGAAAGAATGTATCAGCTTCTGAAAATAAGTCAGGCACATACAAAGAAACTTGTGTGAATCAGAGGACGCCATACAGAGGGTGAACGACCACACAGTGGGAGAAAATACTTTGTTGAATATCTGCTGAAGCTCTAATATTCAAGCTATATTAAAAAAAAAAAAAAGAAAAAGAAAAAAAAACCCTAACTAATAAATACCAGCAGAAACAACCCAAGTCAGAACTGGACAAAGAACATGCATGATCATTTTTCTGAAGAAAATATATGTGTGGCCAGTAAGTCCTGCATAGATACTTAAACATCATTAGTCCTAAAGGAAATGGTCGTCATGGGGACCTACCTTTCTGGAGCTGTTAAGTTGTTTCCAGTGAAGATGTCTGTTCCAGAAGGGGCATAGTCCCAGATGATCTCCTCAGCAGCAATGTAATAGTGTCTCAGTTGTCCATCTTGGATCTTACCGTGCACTGAGGGCTTGTTACAGTTACGAACCTGGAAAAAGGCCTGCAAACCGGCTGAAACAACAGAGAGAAAGCTCTGATGAGTAGTGGCAATTGCTGATGAGAGGACAGGTAGAAATCGAATCAGTTGACGGGGATAATACAGTAAGTCTCTGTAAACTACTGATGGAACGTAATTTTTAAAACAGACATGTGATCCAGGCATGGTGGGGCCCATCTGTAATCTCAACAATTGGGAGGCAGAGGCAGGCAGATCTCTGTGAGTTCAAGGCCAGCCTGGTCTACAGAGCAAGCTCCAGGACAGCCAAGGCTACACAGAGAAGCCATGTCTGGAAAAACCCAACAAAACAAAACAAAACCCCAGACATACCTTTTTATGTATTTATGACAGAAAATAGACATTAAGCATGTAAGTTTTCAAAATAAGAGGCCAGTCTCTGTGGGATTTCTCTTGAGAAACTAGTTATCCAGTGTCACATATCCATTAAGACTTTAATTGAATCAGCCTTTTATTTTGAGAGGGGTTGGCTGTTTTAAAATAACAGTCTTTGGGTGGATTACCTTTCAGGGGGTAATTTTTTCAAAGTCTAATTTCCTCTAGAGATAACCTTCACAAATAGGTTTTAAGAACTAATAGTGTTTTTATACCTTGTGTTACAGAGAGAAGTGACGTTTATAAGTTAAGGCAAAGCACAGATAGATCACAGATAATTTTTAAAGCTGGTTTTACTTGACACGAGTCAAAAAAAAAAAAAAGCTACTCTCCAGCATGAAGTAGAAATCTGTTTTTACAGTTCTCTGTATTTTACATTGAGAAACTATAAATGGTGCTGTATTTTTGTGGCAGAACCCATTGCTGTATTCCAGAAAATGCTATTTTTTTCAGATCTCATTACTTTATAAACATTCCAGGCTTACATGCACTTATTACATTATGATGTAAACATTGTGGAGATAAAACTGAGGTAATAATTCAGTGTTCGGATTAATTAACCTGCTTTTTGGTTCTGTTTCTCTTCTACCTTCTACTAGTAGATTAACTAAGACACAGCTGTTTTTACAACTGACAGCTAACTGGAAGTGAAGATGTCTTACCTTTCAGATGGTTTAGGTTCTGGCAACTGAGCATCCATTCTCCAGGACTCTTAGCCACCATGTAAGTGTCAATTAGGGTAGCAGGGAACAGGTTGATTGCGTCAGCACTGTAGATCTTGTTGATCAGTGTTTGACCATGAAAGACAGCTGCATGCACATCGATTTCATTACCCATACCAAAAAGATACCACTTCACTATGTCTTCTGCACACATGGAAAGCCCCGGAAGGCTTCCGAATGTATATCCATTCATAGCTGCAAATCAAGATTAGAGGTTTTGCCTAATAGACACTGGTGCTTGGGATAATGATAGTTACCTCTACAAAAAAATGTATATATATTTGGTCTAGAAAATATCTGCCACAACAGCAATTACCTCCTCCCCCTTATCCATGCCAGATATTGCTAATCAATCACATACACTTTCAGTTTTGGACCTTAATTATTGACAAGGGTCATTGTCAGAAATATACTGAAGATGAACACAATATTAGAAATAAAACTTGTATAGTGTCTCCAACCAAGGACCATATATGGATATAACCTAGAACCCCTGCTCGGATGTAGCCCATGGTAGCTCAGTATCCAAGTGGGTTCCCTAGTAAGGGGAACAGGGACTATTTCTGACAGGAACTCAATGGCTGGCTCTTTGACCTCCCCACCCCCCTAGGGAGGAGCAGCAGTTATTTTATTAAACGTAGCAGCCTTGCTAGGCCACAGAGGAGGACTTTGCAGCCAGGCCTGAATATACCTGATAAGCTAGGGTCAGATGAAAGGGGAGGAGGTCCTCTCATATCAGTGGACATGGAAAGGGAGAAGATGAAAGAGGGAGGGTGGGATTGGGAGGGAATGAGGGAGTGGGATACAGCTGGGGTACAGAGTTAATAAACTATAACTAATATTAAAAAAAACTTGTGTGGTCTCTGATGTTTATAAACTATGCAGATTGGTTTCATATATGTGTGTGTGTGTGTGTGTGTGTCAGTATAGCTGTATACATATATAGAAAGCACTCATCTACATATAAAATATTGTACATTATTTAATTATCAGCTAATAACCATGCTGGTAGGCAAAGGACAGATAATTTCAATTTTTTCTAAACTTTTTTGACTTATATGAATTTCTTTTATAATAACAAAAACAAGTAAAGTTATTTCTAAGATTGAAAGACAAAAATTACAGATTTCAAGAAAGAAAATAAATTCAAGAAAAGGTAGCAAGGACCAGAACCAGGGACACCTGAAAGCTCAGAAGCTGTATGGCCTGAGAACCTTGGAAGAAACTGAGGGTCACTGTTCAATTTGGGAAATTCGTGAGTAAAAACATTAATGGTAAGGATCATTAATATATTGCATGTGACAGAGATACCAGACCATGTCCGCCCAAGCTAGAAATGTGAGTGTATTTTTCTAACATCTGGTTTTGCTAGCAGGATAGCAGAGCAAAAGGTGAAAATGTATAGAAAAGAGATGTTAATGAAAACAAAGGTAAGTTTTAGAAAACTGGAAATAACTTCATTTTATAATTTGGAAGCACAGTTATTGTTGTCTCAGTTTTCAAGTGAATATCCTTTTAAAGAAACTAAATGCAAATACAATCTATATGTTCTGATCTAATTAGCGTTAAGGTATTTGATTTTCCATGTAAGTTCCCGGGGATAGATAACCTAATCTCATCATTTTTCTTCCTGGGAGTTCAGAAAAGGTTGGACTGTCAAGAAGGCATTTCTAGGTGACACAGAGTGAACTAAAATACGTAAATGCTATAGAACAGGGTTCTTGGTAAGGACAAAGGTAATGTGTAAAACTACATCGGAACTAGTGTTCAGAGTTATTTTGTTAAACGTAGCTGGACGACTGATAGTGTAAATCTAATTTTAAACGTTTACTCTAATAGTCTGAATTGGCTTTCAAATAATTTCTAGAATGAACTTGGAGGATAAATAAATATGTAAGTATAACATGTATGCATTCAATTCCAACTAACGATTTTTCTTGTAAATCAGAGAACAAGTTTGGTGTATCTGGCTTTACTTGGCCTAATATTTAGACAGTGAGCTGTCTAGTTTTGTGTCAACTTGGCACAAGCTAGAGTCATCTTAGGTGAGGGAGCTTCCGTTGAGAAAATGCCTGCAAAAGATCCATCTGTAAGGCAATTTTTTTTTAATGATTGATGGAGGAGGTCCCAGCCCATGTGTGTGTGGCGCCCTCGTGGCTGGTGGTCCTAGGCTATCTAAGAAGGCAGACTGGGCAAGCCAGTCCCTAGCACTTCTCTGTGGCCTCTGCCTCATCTCCTGCCTCCCAGGTATTGGTGCTGTCTGAGTTCCTGCCCTGACTTCCTTCAATGATGTGAAAGTGTCCGCCAAATTAAACCCTATCTTCTCAAACCTGCCTTCGGTCATGGTGCCTCATTGGAGCAGCAGGAGCCCCAACTAAGACAGACAGATATGCCAAATTGCATGTCCAATATGCTTTTGTTCTCAGAGCCTCAAGCTAGAAGTATTCGTGTGAGGGAGTAATCTTAGCAGAATTATTAAAACAAAAAAAAAAAAAAAACATGTCTTTTGTGATCTTACAGTACATCCTGTTGCTCTCCTGGAAGTCTTCATTGTCTTTATCAACTTTCTCGGGTTCAGAGCAAAAGGTTTTGATGTTATCTTCCAGATACCAGCTGAGATTTTCATCCACCACAGAGAACATGACTACAAATTCTTGGTCAGTTTTTTTCTCTCTTTCATTATCTAGAGAACCTGAGGTAGAAATGTGTGATTTAGTAGATCTGAAATTTGAGCATGTGATTCAATTTATATTTTTTTAGGTAATTTGAGCTTTTGAAAATTTGGTGTTTATTTTCTTAGTAAACCACAGATCTGGACCATCTACTGTGCTTTGTGGAAACAGGGAAGTTCCAATGCCACGTACTGTGTGCCCGTGTGTCTACATACCCACCAACAAAAACATTCAGTGTATTTTGGCAACTGAGAAGTTACAATTCAAATGTGTCTAAATCTTCTGGCACAAACATATAGCCACAAGCCAACACAAGAAGGCTTTGCAGGTAACTATTGATCCAATAAATATTACATTTCAAACTTGAGTTATACTGTCTTTATGAGGTGAGGAACAAATGTACTATTATACTTGCCAGTATAATACAGGTAACTACAGACATCACCAAGGAGTGCCACCGAGGTTGTCACAAATAGTAAAGTCTTTTGTCTCCATAAAACACCATTGCAGGAAATTATACCCAGCAAACCTATCCCACAGAGAACCCATTTCAAGCATCTTAGCTTCATTAGCATTTTCCTTCTAAGATGTTTGTTCCACTTTTCATGTCATCAAGGCCTCTCCTATACTTTCTTTCCCTCTTTTCTACTTTTACCCATTATTACTCAACTGCAACACAGAATAACTTTTAGTTAAAAAAAAACAAATTGAAAAAGAAAATAAAACAAACTGTCTTGTATCTGTGTCCTGTATTGTGAGCTGTGAGAAAACATACCTTTTTTACAGAGTATTAAAGGTCCTATGAGTCCTGATGCAATATCTTTTGGGGCATCAACATGGGAGTGGTAAATCCTGGTCACACAATTGCTGTCCTCCTCACGAGGACTTTGATTACTAGTATGCATCACATACAAATACTGTTCCCCAGGAAAGACTTTGTCATCGGCTCTCTGAAACTCGGTGGTGTTGTCAGGGTAGACAGCTCCTGGAAAGCAGCATGAAGTGGGGTTAGAAAGTAAGTGCATTTGACAGAGTTGAGTAATCGTCAGCCCTCAGCACCTAGTGAGTGCCCTCTGCATGGTCAGTCATGTTCTGAATTGAAGGCATAAAAAGAATAAATGAAAGGCTAAGGTCTACAGAGCTTATAAGCCTCATGGACATGATTCTTATTAACTTAGTAAGTGACTGAGTCATACATAAGGAATATTTCAGGATGATTGTGACTTCAACAATTTAAGGAAAAGCTTGGGGTCATGGTATAAAAAAATATGCAAAGTAATCACCTTCTTATAGTTTGAAATTGCTTATATAATGTCAGATTTGTGTGAGTGTGTGTTGTAATTGCAGAACGCAAAAAAAAATTACACTTTATTTTAGAACTTTTCAAGCATGAAGAAGTTGAGATCAACTGCTATCCTTCTCTAAGTGTTGGTAGATTTCCAGTGTACCTATCATCCCAGCTTTAACAATGGTAAACTGAAAGCCAGTTATGTTTTTTTTCCTGTAACCTAATCAATGTTATCTTTAGCCACATGAAATTATTTGAAAGCAAATTCTAGACATATTTAATTTATAATATCTGAACATGTATCTTTGAAAGACAAGTTTTTTTTTGTTTTTTTTGTTTTTTTACAAAATTACAAGCCTATGGTTGTCTTTTAAAAATTAATGTTAACTCTTCAGTATATCATGGTGCTGTAAAATAGAAAAAGCACAATAGCCAGTTAAAATAGAACCATTTGGTTCAGAAAAACAGAAAAGAGATGATGTAATGTGGAACTCTGTCCTCTGGTTATGATGTGGCTGTTGCAGTTTTGCAATCAGAGCAGCTGTGCTTATTTTATTCACAGGAGACTCTCACAGGACTTGGGCCAGGGAGTGAGGGCACGCCAGGTGCTTCAGGAAGCAGCGCTCCAGGGCAGCTCTGCCTTCTCCTAGGATATACAAGTTGCTCTTCTTTAGCGTCGCTGCCTGTGCATTGTCATGCTCCTGCAAGGAAACCCAGTTAAACCCACTGGTTCATCACGCAGTGAGTGGGTTTACGTAGAATCGTTTCTTTAGCCTAATAGTTTCTTGAGTGCCCTGTCTTCAGAAGAAGACACACCACATCTAACATTCACTTTCTAAAAAAAAAAAAAAAAAAAACATTAAAAATGTACATTTATGTTACATGTATTCCGAGAGAGAGAGTGGCTATGGTGCACATGTGAGGGTAAGCTGACATCTCGGGGGGCGGTCAGTTCACACTTTCACCATGTGAGTCCCCGGGCATGAACTCAGGTCCTCAGGCTGTGTGGCTCACGTGTGAGAGTACTCAGTCCACCTTAGCTGGGCTGGAGTTTATGGGAGGTCAGGCTGGAGCGTGGTTGCAGCCACAGTGTGCTCCCCGGAAGAAGCTCACAGGTAAGACAGCCTCCACCTGAATCTCTCTCTCCCCTCTAGCTTCACGCCTCTTCTAAGTTTCCAGGAACACCGTCCACCTCTCATATCCTCATAGTCTTCCTCTATCAGATGAGGAGTTAAGTGCCGGAGATACAGCTCTGGCTCTCCCTGTCAGCATCTAGTCCACTTAGGCGCGGATGGCATTCCAACCGCACAAAGTCCCACAGCCAGAAGAAACAAAGCACTACTGCGGTGAGTTCAAATCCCACTGCGAAACAGATTGGTGTTAAGGGGTGTTGCTGTAGGTTTCATATAGAGGTATCAGTTTCAGACGTTAAAAGGTTTTCCTACCGAAGAGAGGAAACGCCAACCACAACACACTCTGGACTTACCCTCGTGCTCCTTGCGGTAAGTCACCCCGTGTGGATGGAAAGTGTAGGGCCTAGAGGCGAAGTTCTTCACGTGAACGTAAACTTTGTCCCCAACCTCAATTTTGATGATAGGGCCTAAGAACCCTAGCCATGCTGGTTTGGCTACAGTCTCGCCAAAGGTGCCATCTGTGTACTGAACGTAAAGGGCCTTCTTGTATGATCTTCCAATGCGATCCGGGCCATTTTGAAGATAGAAATTGGACTGTTCCCTGGAAAGGAAAAGACACTCTCATCAGAAGCCATCGTTTCCGGAGCTAGCCTAAGAATTTAGGAGAGTCTTTGTGTGTCGGATAGACACCTCCAAAGATGAAGGGAACAGCTGTGGACTGGCTCTGTGATCGTAATTAGATGAGGTATTTCATATCAGACATGCCGTAGAGAACCATCTGTGAGGACCACATAACACGGTGGTCCTCACGCGGTGTCAAGAAAAAGAAAACGAAACAAAACTGAGTGCAACTAAACTCTGTCTTTTAAATTATTTATTTGTGTGTGCGTGCGCATGCGTGCATGTGTGTGTGTGTGTGTGTGTGTGTGTGTGTGTGTGTGTGTGTGTGTGTCTTCAGTTAAAATTATATCAATTGTGGAACAGCAAAATGCTGCCGAAAGAACTTACCCTGGTGAGTCCTCTTGTGTAACTTATAATTGTTACACGCTTTCCCTTTGTGTTAAATAAAGCAGAAGAAAAAAAAAATGGAGGTAGATTGGAGATTTCGGAAAATCCACGAATGAAGAACAGAACACAGGATTGAACTCTGCCCCAAACTCACAGAATTAGTATGGGCAAGAGGAATCTTAACAAATATTTGCTTTAAAACTAGTTAAGCTGTGTGTCACCAAAGACCCCTGAGTTTAAAGGCAGAGATTCATGCCGTCTGTTGTGTTAAGAGAGGTCCACCGGGGGACAGTTCGCTCAGAACTAGCTGAAGCTAACGTCTCCTTCCCATCTAGCTAGAAGAACCCTGGGCTAGCCTCAAACCATAAACCTCAGAATAAATGTTCTTCGGGGGGCTACCGTCATTTCCGGGAGACTTGTCTGACAACATCAGCAGGGATCCTCCTCCACCATGCCCTGGCGATAAACATTTTGCACAGTCTGGGTTTTAAAGCAGGTTTCGAGTCCTTGAGGCTTTATTGAAACATCTTATGCACCCATTCTCCTGACTGTGACGCTGCGGCACCCAGGAATTCACCCCATCTTGTTCCCATATACTGTAACAGGTGGTCACCTGTCAAAATGCATCCATTGCCCTGATGTGTAAGGACTCATTTCTTAAGACAGCATGTGCTCTGTCTTAGCTTTGTGGCTCATTTTTTTTTTCTAGACAAAGTTTTTGAGAGGATTGAGCGTGTGTGAAAATTACCTTTAAAATAAAAATATATCTGAAGCTAAATATATTCAGAGATTTTTACACACTTGGAATATCTACGTTTATAACACACACACACCACACAAAATCAAACTGGTTTTTCTATCTGGCCTGGTCATTGTGAGAAATTTCCCTTAGCCAAATTGGGAAATGTCTAACTTTGGGGAGGTCTGTTTGTGTATGATCCTGATGTTGTCCTTCAAAAGAGCTTTAGAAAACCATTGCTGGCCTAGGGACAAAGGGTCAGTCACCTACCAGAAGCTTGTGGGAACCTTGCCAGTCAGATGTTCAGCCACAAGAATCTATAATAGTGAGTCTTTGAACCAAACAAATTATTCACATTAATTTCAGTCCTTCAGCTGTAACCTGCTTCTTTCTACTCATTTACAGCAAATGGATTTCCTTCACAGCAATCATATTTTCTAGTTTAGCCCCTTTTTCCCTTTTTAAAGGAAAAAAAAAAAGCTGACTCCTATTATTTCTGGTAGACTCAAAATCAGAATTGAATTTTAAATGGTAGGTAATCATTAATGCTGCTATAATTAGCTAATAATACATTCCACTGGTGAGTTCAGAATTCACTGAAGAGGTTTGGTCTATGCTTAGCTTGGTTACTAAAGCCTCCGGATTAAAGCAGAGTTTTCACTTGGCTGGTTGAAACGCTACATTAGATTTTTATTGCTGCATAAGAGATCATCACACTGCCGCCTGAGGTAAAAGCTGCTTATGGCCTCACAGTTGGATGAGTCCTAAGTCTGATACCGCACAGCTTTGTTCTGAGCCTTGGGCATAACAGCACTGAAATGAAATGCCAGACTGTGCACTCCCCTGAAGACCTGTGAAAAAATGCACTTCCTGAATGATTTCTGGGCGCCTCTCCTGGATGTTTAAGGCTGCCCACATGATTCTCAGGTAACCCTTTCCAACATGCAGTCAGCAACAGTACACAGAATCTACCTTAATCTTAGAAGCTTCTAATGTTTTGTTCAGCCCCATGCTGGCTAATCACCCTGACTCCTATCTGGGCTAGCCACAATGTTGGCTAAACCATGAGTCCTGAAGCCAGGCATGGTGGCGCATGCCTTTGATCCCAGCACATAAAGAACGAAAGACAGCTTAAGAGTTTATATTGGAGCTGGTGTAGTAGTGCATGCAGGGAGGCAGAGGCAGGTGGATTGCTGTGGGTTAGAGGCTGGCCTGATCTACAAAGCGAGTCCAGGACAGCCAAGGCTACACAGAGAAACCCTGGCTCAAAAAACAAAACAAAACAAACAAACAAACAAAAAAACAAAACATGAGTCCTCTAATTGATGTCTCATCTTTCCCACACATTCTAGGAATTTAGGGCAGTAAATCTTTTTGCTGGCCATTGCCTTTAACATACAGCCATCACAGGAAAGTGGCCTAGCCACAGGCTAAGGAGCCTCAGTGAATTATATATCAAAAATAGCTTTGCCCTGCAAACACAGCAGGAATACAGTGCTAATCAACCTTTTCAGGCAGGAGAAATGGAAATGGGTAAGAGCAAGTAGAACATGGAAAGCATGAAGTGTTTAAGTTGTTTAGTGTGTCCAGAGAGGTTGTCCTTTATGAGGTGATTATCCCTTAAAAAAACATTATTTTTATTTAGCAGCCTTAAAGAATGGGGCCTTGCAAAAGGATTCTCCCAATAACGTTGTCCAAAATTTTCCAAATCCTCTTTAGAAGATTTAAAAAAAAATTTTTTTTGAGGCAGAGTCTCATGTACCTCAGGTTACACTCAAACTCCCTGAATAAAACTGAGGACAGGGCTGTTCATAGGCGTGGCTGAGGAGAAATGTTTTATTGTAGAAGTGAGGGAGAGAGAGCACAGCCAGAGACCTCTGGAAGAGTCCAGACTGAACCAGACCAAAAGAGGGCATGGGGGAGACTGAGCGAGGAAGAGAAAAAAGGGAAGAGGCCGAGAACTAACCCAGAGAGATCCAAGAGAAGCAAGTGACATGGACTAAATGTCAGGGTTATCTAGGAAAAAGAAGCTGAGGAAAGGAACGAGAAAGGCCTGGGATGGAGAGGTTTAGGATGGGGGGAAGGGCTGCAAAAAGCAGAAAGGAGGCAAGGTACTGAGAAGGCCAGGAGGCCAGCTGTGTGCTTTGGTATGCTAATAGCTGCCACAGATAGACATTTGCACTGGGGTTCATGGGGACCTGACACTCACCATACAGTCCTTTAATATTTTTAAGATTATTTTTGAGAGAGCGTTAAAATAATTAATTGGGAACCCACTCAATTTGGCCAGGCCTAGCAACTTGGGTGCCTACATAAGCAAACCAAAAAAATAATTTTATGTAAAAGGAGTATCCAACCTCTTGACATTGCTATGACATTGCTATGTATGACATTATCGTCTACAAATGTGTTGGGCCACTTTCATAGCTGTTCTGAAATAGCTACATGTGACCTGTGGAGCCCAGGTTGAACAGGCCTGACGGGAAAGAGTAAAGTGAAACGTGGACCTAACTAATCAGAAACTGCTAACATCTAATTAGAATTTTCCACGTTAATTAATCAATTGTATTCTCTTAATATTGCTTGCAAAAACATAACAGTGTCTTTTGTAAGCCAGTGAACTGCTTAGGTGTGAGGTAGGTAGCTCAATCTACGACTAGCAGGATGCTCAGGTAAGCTTGTTAAATGTAAATGTGTGTAGTTTTGCAAGCTAGGTAGACCAGGCTGTCCTCAGGCTCACAGAGATCCTCCTGCCTCTGCTTCCAGGGTGCTGGGATTAAATGCACAAGCAGCCATACCCAGCCAAATATGTTGTGTTTTAATGGAGTTAAGATAGTGCTTTTGTTGCAAAGTTTTTTCTCTCTCTCTAAGAGCATTTGTTTTTCTATTTTCCTAAAATAGGATTTATTAGGGAGGTCACTTGTTACCATAACAATAACAATAAGAATAATGACAATAATGACAATAATGACATAATAATAGCAGTAACACTTTATATTGAGTAGTAGCCATTATATCCAGACTAGCATAACTATGATTATACCATTGGACTGTATGGTCTTAGTTTGTTGACTGTTTCTTTGTCAAAATTTGGGCTTTTGTTTGTTTTCTAGTCAGTATGTTTGCTCAAAATGACACCATTATTCTGCTATCAGACCTTCAAGCCTACAACTGATTGCAAAACTAGATACCAATGTTTATAGCATGTTAGGAAAGTCACAGTTGTCAAACAAAAGCCTACAAAGTTAATTATAAAGGGGTTTATAAGTTGTTCTTGGGCTTAAGGAAAGCTTCATTTCCCCCCCCCCCCAGCTTCCTAGAGGTCACTAGAAAACAAAGTAATTTAAAGACAATATAATTATTATTATTGCTATTATGGTCAACTATTCAATACTTACTTAATAGTGATCATGGACCTTAAGCACACTCCGGTTTTTTAGATTTTTTTCTGTATATACATTTTTTTGGTTATTTAAATATAAGCAACTTATTTCAAGAACTGTATATTTTAGAAACTATCTGTTTTTGGAAGTGGCGGCACTAGCAATAGTATAAGGATGCTACTTTCCACCTCACTTTGTTACAAATAAGTAATATTGAAATTAATCTCGAAGAGGTAAGCCTATTTTCCAAACCAACAAAACAAAATAAGAACAATTCACACATTTTTCTCCTTCAACAGCAGTCTTGTTTTCAGATTCACTAACTCTAGTATGCTGCCTAGACTCAAGTTCCTATGTTATTCTGCTGCCTGATTCAGTCTACAGTGTGAATCTATCCACTCAGGAACAAGAGAAAATTTTTATAATATACCCTGCAGTGACTTCTGCTTTCCTATAAACCTTTCATTTGTTTATTTTTATACCCACAAATACTTAGTACCTTCTAACTCATAGATAAATGTGGCCTAGCAGCCATCACAGCATGTGTATCTGCTTTATTACCCCAGACCTTGGGATTAACACTTTCAACCTAGTCTTCCCCCTGACCCTTATTTTGGGCTCTTTCACAACTTATTCATTTTATTTATTTCATGCTTCATGGACTGACTCAGACATACTGCTGATTTAGGACAAAGGAGGTAGAAAAAGGTTGCTGCCATGCTCCTCTGGTAAAATTTAGCATGACACGGGCAAAGTTACTGGAGCTTCAGTCATTGTTCAGGTAGATGGGGAAACAGATTCTAAAATGCTGGTGAAGTCACAGGAGACTGTAGGGCAATAACGAAAAGAAAGCTGAACTCAACTGGAAGTGCCCAGTTTTCCTTCTGAGCACCTTTGAGCGTCCCTATTAAGTAATAACAGGGTAACCAAGCTTATCTTCCCTGAATGTCTGATCTGGAACAGGGACACAACTAGAATATTTAAAACAAACAAACAAAAACACTCTTTGAAGTTTTTATCAACCTTAAGACTTAAGGTTCCTCATACTTAAGAGTTTACCACAGTGGATCATGGCCAGCACATACTCAATAGACTGACTTGATTTTTTATTATAAAGCATAGCAGGGGTAGGTGGAGCATTGAGTAGAACAACATTCTTCTTTGCATATATATATATATATATATATATATATATATATATATATATATATATATAAAATGTTGCTGATAAATGAACCAGAGCTTTGTACTTACTAGATAAGTACCCTATCATTGAAATACACTTGCAGCCCGGTACTTTTTTTTTTTTTTTTTTTTTTTTTTTTAGTGTATCTGACCCATTTCCTTGGAAATAAACACTATATATAATTTATATTGTACTTAATCAGGGAAACAATGAACCACACATAATTAGGCTTCTAGTGAAACTGTAAAAATATGTCTAACTTTTGGGAAGAGAATATTATCTCAAAACCATGTTTAAAAAATTCTAATTGCTATCTTTGTAGCCAGTTATCAGCTCAGAACTTTTTCTTACTAAATATTACTAGGTTAGTAAAATAACAGTTGGAAATTATTATTAGGAACACATTTTTTTCTAACCATAAAAAATTCAACCTTATATAAAATTAAACAAAATTGTATATACCCATCAATGATTCTGTAGTTAATTACATAATGGAGCTGTTTTTAAAGAGACAATTTTAGTAGATGCTGGTCATTTCGCTCATTTGAGTTCTCTTGTCAACAAACCCATTTGCTAGTATAGTAAGTATTTCCTGTGAATGCTAAGTTTCTGTATGGTAGGAAATGTTTAGATACTATTAAAAGTAATGGACTCAGCTCAGAGAAACTTCAAGACTCCACTATTCTTTATAAAGAATACTGCTTGATATAAAGCAACTAAAACACAAAAGACATTTAAGTTACATGGTGTTTTATCAGGACCTCATAATAAGAACATAACATTTCATGCACATGTTATGTGTGGAGGAACACTGCGATAAACAGCCCGGTGAGATGAGCTTGCTCTCTCATTTTATAGATAAGGACCCGGAGACTGTGAGAGATTAGTTTGTTCAATCACTGTCCTGAATCACCCAGCAAATATTAAGCATAACCATATTTCTTTATGTTGTATTTCATTTCTATATTTGATATTTTGAAGGACTGTACTTTTTAATGCTGTACTTTTACCATAAGGAACAATTAGTGATGTGATAACATTTTGTATAGGAAAGAATTTCTGCATCCAGAAGCAGAACACATTTGGGATATAGATAAAGGAATGTCTAACCACAGGAGAGAGTAGGAAACTGACAAAGCTCCCTCAAGACCAGGAGGAAAGGAACAGGAAAGCTTTACAATAACAAATATTAGGGACATAAAGGAAACCAATAAAAGTATTGATTTTTCAAGTCAACATTTTACATTTTCTATGTTTAACAAATTAAAGAACTACTTTTCTTTTTAGCTTCATTTTTTTTAATTCACAACTTATAAATTTGGCCCATAAACAACAAAGAATATTGACTTACGTGTCAACTGAAACAAGTTTCCTTTCTCCGTTGCCAGGGGCATAGTCCCAAACTGTTTCAGTAATTCCGATGTAATAATGCTTTTCTTTTGTCCAGACTAAGGGAATATACAAAAACAGAAATGTACTAAGCAGCAAAAACTTCATTTTCCCCTTCTTGGAGCCTGAGATGCAATAAAGTAAAATCAGAACCAAGCAACTTTATAAATAAGGCCTTCTTTATTTGCTTGATTGATACAATTTAATGTTGCACAAGAGTAAATCATTTTCTCAAAGCAAATAACATTTCCCAAGGCAGTTTGGTTCCGGTAACCATGAAGGGGAAAACCAAAATGAAAACAGCTCTGAGTAGCCAGACTTTTCTAACCACAGATGGGATGTCATCAGTTAGTGTTAGAGTTATGACTCTGCATTTTTTCCATTCATTGTGTGAGCTCCAGGAAGTCAGAGAACATTTCTAAATGCTCCTTTTGTTCTTCTAGCTATCTCGGGCACTACAGCACCCTGCCCAGAGCAAGTCTGTAATTCCCCAAGGTAAAGTGAATCAAAACATACGGCTGTTAACTATTTTAGAAGACTAACAAAAACTTACTTGTAACTTTAGAGATAGGAAACATTATATTTAGCACATCATAAAAGTAGCCAATAAAATTTCCACTTTGAAACTTTCATCTACTCCGTGAGATCTGGACATGTCTATGTAGACACTTTACCAAGTTGTCCTGGATTGCCGTGTGGAAATTAATAGCAGAACATAGCAGGAATTGATAAATTTGTTCCAATTATTAAAGAAATCAGTTATAAACCACACAAACTAGGCATAATGTTGTTTGTTTTGTGGTTCCAGTTACTGGGAAATCTGACACATGACATATCTGTTGAACCTAGGATTGTAATACCAGTCTGCACAGTGCAAAGAGAGAGAGGAGGGGAAAGAAGTAGTCAAGGGAAGAAGGAAGAGGAGGGAGAGGAAGAGAGGAGGAGGGAGAGGAAGAAAAAGAAAGAGGTAGGAAAGAGAAAGAAAGCAACAAGAGAAATCAACCACAAATAAGCCTGTTTTCAAAGGCAAAGAATGATTTTACTCAACCAGAAGACAAACCTTGTTTATTAGCCTAGAATATTTTATTTTTGAGTGTATGAGAGCTTTAAGGTAAGACTTTTGATTAAAGCCCTGTCTTTTGTTGTGGCATGTATCTAAATATATAAATTTTTTTTTTCTTAAGCCAAAGACAAGTCTGATGATACCAATTAACATTTTGTGTTAATACAGCCATGGTCGTTATTTTCTAGGATGCAGCCTAGAGTTCAAGGCTATTTGTTGAAATAGGTTGGTATCCGAGTAGTTACTCTGCCCATGTTAACGGATCATTCACTTAGCAAATATTGAATGAGCTCCACTGTGTGCTGAGCTCTGTCCTCAGTGGGCAGACAGCAGTGGATAAAACTCCATGGAGGAACTTACTATAAACATATAAAAAATGAAGAACACAATGTCAGTCATAAGTGCTATGGAGAGAAATAAATGAGGGAAGGGGTGTGATGAGTACTAGAAAAAATGGCAAGGTAAAATCTGATGCTGTCAAGATTCTTCCCCTTAGCCTCAGTTTCCTCATCTGTAAAAGTCAACCTCAAATGGCACTCATCCACATTAATTTTCATGACCTTGCAACTGGTAACAACTGTGTGTGTGTGTGTGTGTGTGTGTGTGTGTGTGTGTGTGTGTGTGTTAATGGAACTGAACACAGGGCTTTAGGCACCCTTATGTATAACAGACAAGTGCTCTACCACTGAGCTACTGGCCTATGCTAGCTAGTAATAATCTTGACCACATGACTTGGTACAGAAAACTGCATTATAGAACCCCAGGTGCTCCAAGCCTCTTTCTGGAGCTTCCTTGAACAACTCTGTCCTCATATCCACAAAGAAGACAGGAATACGTCTGAAATCTTATCCAGACTTTAATGATCAAGCTCCATGCCTTGTCAGAAACTTCTCCTTCCCCAAAAGGCTCTTTTCATCCAAGATGGACCATTTAGGGGATATCTTCTAGCAGTTCCGTCTCAAGAGAGAGAGGTGTGCTTTTAAGTGACAAGAAGCCACTGCATGATCTTACTTGGCTCCATGCTTAAACTTACTGTGGTTTTAAGAAAGCCAGAGCAGCCATCTCCAGAGTGCCTTCTTCCTGAAAATTCTACCAACCAACAGATAAATGGGTTCAAATAATTGTTAAGGGCTCCCAAGTACCCCATATAGTAGGACTCTTCACAGTGACGGCAGAAGTACGTGGTTAAACAAACCCTGGTTGGTTCCAGTAAGCAAGTCCTTTATATATAGCATAGGAGAAATCTTTAAGTGTGAATTGTCCCATTTTGTGTGTACTAGTTTTCCCCTCAAAAGGCATGTGGCTTGCTGTGTGGCAGAGAGTGGGAAGAATCCTCTCAGCTTTAGAGCTCCTTACAGAAGACAGAAAAGTTCCAAGCAACCAGAAGCATTAAACGTCACCCATCACTCTCCGAAATAATTCCAGAGTTGATGTGTAAAAGGAAACTTTGGATAATAGTGTAGCTGAGAATGCTCAGCACTCAAAGAGTGCAACACAACAATACAGACTGAGCTGACAAGAAATGTGAGCAGGAGTACAAGAAGAAACTTAGCAAACACAGAGTAAAGCAAAAGACGCACTACAAGCCTGAAGCAGTGTGTCCCTTTAGCTGTGCCTGCTAGAATGTCTTCGCCCCCAAACCGCAAAGCGACGCTTTTGCAGTTATAAAAAAACATTATGTGTCTAAGCTAACTGCCTGGTGATGTCCGCACAACTGCACACCACACATTTCACTAGAAATTCTTTTTCATTGCATTAAAGCTTTGTGAAAGAAGGGAGTCCTCTTCACATCTAGCATCAAGATTCTGAAGTTGACGGTTGAAACCAAGGAGGGCAGGCTCTCTTATAGCCAGATAGACATTTTTTTTTGAACCTCCAACATTCTTGTTCATTTTTCTTGTAGGTCTGCTAAGATCTGTTAACCTGTATGACAACAAAATTACTAAAAGACAAGTCACCAATGAGGGCTGTCCTTCACTCTGACCGAAGGAGATTTAAAATAGCAGGACATTCTCACCCCAGGAGTCAGACCACCAACCTATTTGCTTTTGCAGAGGAAGTTGTGCAACTCTGGAATTTTATCAGTGGTTTGGCCACCTGCAGAACTTTGATTATGAGTACAGGGTTAGCCCAGCACAGTGTAAGCCCTGCCAGGATTTTCTGTTGCATTCACAATTTTGTGGCTATTTAGGGATGGAGTTCTCAGAAGAATCTGGACGCTTCACAATCCTTTAGATGCCCAGCCATAGGTCATGGCCCTGACCAGCCATTCTGGCAAGCAAAGCGCTCATAGGTGAGAGAAGAAAAGCCCAGGCTCGCCACTGCAAGGAAGCCTTGTTGCTGTCAAAGCTTACAGTACAATGTGAAACAAAAGGAGCTTTTTATTTTTAAATGGTAGAATGATTTCAACTAATTTTTCATTTTTATTCTCTTGCTACTTTGAATGATATAGACACAAAGCCTGTGGCTTATTAGCAGTGAACAAAACCTCAAGGACTGAGGTGGGTGAGTTTATTTTTGTTGTTACATGTGTTTGTTTTTTTGAGACTGAGTCTGACTCTATAACTCAGGATGGCCTGGGACTCACTAGCCTTAAACTCATGTTGAACCTTCTGTATCAGCCCCCAAGTGCTGGAATTACAAGTAGGAGTGCCTATGTCTGACTAAAGATTTTTTTTGTTTGTTTGTTTTGGCATTTGCAGAGGTGAGGAAGGGTCTCACTATGTAGCCTGATGGCCTGCATCTTGCTGTATAGACTAGACTGGCCTCAAATTCAAAGTTGTTCTTGCCTCTGCCTCCTGATTGCTGGGCTTACAGGCAGGAGGCACCACTAATTACCCACTGCCTAACAGAATTGTTTCCTTAGGAATAGAAATGTATCCTTTAGACTTGGGTACCTCAAACGCCAATGGGCAAAGGTCTTGAAAACCTTTGATTTCAACATAGCTGACTCTACTTCTTTTAGCTTCTGCCCTATGATGGCGTGCTAGACTCCCCAAAGTTCTTAAGTATAGCTTTGTGCCAGAACTTAATTTGTGAAAAGAAATTGAGTGATGACATAGACCTGTGCATCTTAAATTTTGAAAAGCTTACGGATGCTCACAGTTCTCCTTGGGAAAAAAAGAGGGGAGCATGCTACCCAGGCCGTGCAGTGAAAACACTGAAGCTGATCAGGAGAAAGGAGCAGAGGTGAAGGGAAACATGGATCACTGGCCTTTACTGGCAGTGCAAGGTAAACAGTTTAGGATTGGCTAATTAAAAAAAGAAAAATCCCAGTTCGTTTAAGGGCAGAAGTGCTGTCCCTATGTATAGTACCAGGCCCTCTGCTAAGGTGGGATAAAGAAAATAGTGGCTTGGCGCCTTAGAGTGAAATAAAACAGGTTCTTAGGAATACATGAAAGCCTGTTTACCAAGAACTTCATTACTACCCATGTGAGTTAACTTGCTTTGGAAAGGTAGTATTTCTCCGGTCAGAAAAGACTCCCCTCCCCAAAATGTTATAGCAGCATAAAATATGAAACAAATATACAAAACATTATAAACTTCCAATTAGAAATAATGTGTATGTGAGTGTCCTCTTCATTAGATCAAGCCTGTTTGGTATTAAATCCTAAATACTTGGACTTGTATTTGACATATTAATTCAGTCAATATTGAATTTTTAAAAAAGTTAAGTACCACAACAGTCACAATTCTTGGGTGATCATCCTGGATGATAGATGAAGCTCCATGCCAAGAATCCTATCAGTTTTCTCATTCAATCCTCCCACAACTGCTTAGTAAGTGTATTACTCCCACTGCCACTGTAGCGAATCGCCGCGCCCTCCGCGGTCTACCACCACACCGGGTTGCGGCATAGTGTCACATGTCCGAAGCACAGCTCGCTGGGCCACAAGAGACTCCAGGAGGCGGCACACCTTCTGGGAGCCTGTAGGACAATCTGTGGCTTTCTTGGTGGCCATTCTCAATTTGTGCAGTCCTTCAGCTTCTGGCTCTCGCGCCATCTGCTGGAGGGGGGTTGCTCTAACGGGAGCAATACTGTTAAAGAAAACTTTTTTTTTTCCTCCTCCCTCTCTCCTACGATGACCCCATTCTATTCTCCTGGATTCTTCAGGTATTCCAAAATAAACACATAAATCTACAGTTTGACAGTAAGATCCACATCCTGTGGCC